CACACATATATCATGAACCCTCACAAAACTGAAAATGAAGGTTGGAAGTGGTTAAAAGCTGAAAAAAGCAGCATACCTAAACAGATATGCCTTGGATGATGGTCACAACCATTAATGGTAGAACACAATAACACAAATGCCAAAGACCATGAGGTAAATGACTATTAACTAGAAATCTGTACCCAATACAACTATCACCTGAACACGAAGGCAAAGCCAAGATCCTCTCAAGACTTAATAAATTATTTGCAATATGTGTTTTAGGCATTTACCCTAAGATGTGTCCTAGAAAAACAAATAAGCAGACTAGAGAGATGGCTCAGTGGTTAAGAGCACTGGCTGTTCATCCAGAGGACCTGAGCTCAATTTCCAGCAACCACATGGTGGCTTCCAACCATCTGTAATGGGATCTGGTTCCCTCTTTTGTCATGCAGGCATACAGGCAAATAGAACACTCATATATACACAAATAAGTAAATCTTTAAAGAAAAGAAGAGAAAGAAAAACAAGGGGGTAAGTTGTGAAAGACCCCTGACTGGGTCCAGTGTCAAAGAGTCTCAGGACCCAGAGGACCTGTGAACTGTCTGCCCAGATGGAAATCCTAGGAGACAGGTCTACAGGGAACATCGCCACTTCAATGGACATGCAGTCACAAACAGTTTGGAAATCAACGGAAACATGCTAAAGACATTGGTGGAGCAAATACACAAGGAAGATAACAAGAAATTCCAGGAGAGGGCCTAGAGAAATGCTTAGCAGGTAAAAGTGCATGTCGTACAAGCCTGGCGACCCGAGTTTGATTTTCAGATCCTCTGGTGGAAGGAGAGACTGACTTCCGAAAGCTGTCCTCTGACTCCACAGTATTACAGGCAGAAGTAAATAATGTATTTTTCAAATGTATGTATGGAGTGCTGATATCTGATACCCCGGAACTGGGAGTTAGCGATGGCTGTGAGCCACCAGAGGGCGTGAGCGCTGGAAATGAGAGTTCTCTGCCGGTGTGAGCATGCCCTGGTGTGAGTGGAGGTCAGAGAACAATTTGCAGGAAGTCGGTTCTCTCTCCCACTGTGTGTGCACCAAGGGTTGAATTCATTCAATTTGCAGGAAGTCGGTTCTCTCTCCCACTGTGTGTGTACCAAGGATTGAATTCACTCGTTGGACTTGCTGGCAGGGGACTTTGCCCACTGAAACATCTTGCTGGCCATTGTAATACGGATTTTCGAAATTGGACTTAGTCAGCAAGCAATGTAAGAAAAACTACATGCTGTTTTTGGACCCAAATGTTAGCATCTTGAATCTTGAAAATAAAAAGTTAGATGAACAATTAGGAAGAGGAGCGGGAAACCAGCTGAAAGATAAAATATGGGGGTTGTTAAAAATTCAATAAAAGAAACGCCACCCATGGCACATGAGAGGAGAGATAAAGGTATTATTTAAACATTTCTTTTTTAAAAAAGATTTATTTATTTATTACATATACACCAGATTGAATTGTCGATGGTTGTGAGCCACCATGTGGTTCCTGGGAATTGAACCCAAGACCTCTGGAAGAGCAGTCAGTGCTCTTAACCTCTGAGCCATCTCTCCAGCCCTATTTAAACATTTTCAACTTTGTGTTGTGTGTGAACATATGTGAGCCTGCTTGTCTATATGTGTACTGTGTGTGTGTGTGTGTGTGTGTGTATGTAACATATGTGAGCATATGTGAGCCTGCTTGTCTGTATGTGTACTGTGTGCATGCAGTGCTTGCTACAGTCAGAAGAGGGCCTCAGGTGGGGCCCTCCAAAGCTACACAGAAAAACCCTGCCTCAAAAACCAAAAAGAAAAAAAAAAAGAGAGAAGAGGGCCTCGGCCCCTGGAACTGTAGTTATAGATGATGACTGTGAGCCACAGAGACTGTGGCTGGGGTCTGAACTTTAGTCCTCCGCAGAAACACTCCTGTTTTGTTTTGTTTTTGTTTTCTGAGCCAGAGTTTCTCTGGGCAGCCCTGGCTCTCCTGGAACTCGCTCTGTAGACCAGACTGACCTCAAATTCAGAGATCTACCTGCCTCTGCCTCCTCAGTTCTGCGCCACTACTACCCAGTAACAGTGTACATTCTTATCCATTTCTTCAGTCTCAATATCAGCATTCCTGAAAGGTTCAATCTCTGTTCTGTGATTTAGGACGTCACTTCTTAAAATTGATGATTTCCCCCCATGTATTCATTTCCTGAACTTCCTTTGCTTTTCCCTAGTGTTTGGACATCACCCCTTCGTGCTTTTACTAATAGTCCAGCATCATTTTGAGGTGGAATTGGTCTAGCCACATCTAGTAACTTTACTTCAGTGTTTTCCTGACTTTCCCCGGATTTCTGCCTCTTTTATATTAATCTTTATATCAATTTGTCTTTTTAAAGGTTAGTGGTATCACATTAAAATTTTAAAAGTATCTATTAATGTTTAAATTTGTGTTTGTGTGTCTGCACAATTGAGTGCAGGTGCTCATTGAGGCCAGAAGAGGGTGTTAGATTCCCTGGGTCTGGAGTTAAGATGATTTTGTAATGTTGAATCATTTCCTGCAAGAATAGGGCTGTCTTCCATTTGTTCAAGAATACTCCTGGATTTTCCAGGAGTGTCAAATTACATTTTAAAATATACTTGTTTCCAACTAATGTCAAGGCTGTGTTGAGTTTTTAGGAATGTGACATACAACAAGATGGAGACAACATATGTCCCATTCTCAGTGGAAAAAAAGATCTACATCTTAAATGGATTTTGCCTCAAACGCTAAGTGATGCTTTCAAAGCCCACAGTGAGGCTGGCTGATTCCTTTGATGAGCATTGTATCAATGTCAGATGCAGAGGGAGGCTGTGGGCAACCAGGAAATGCCAGGAACACCGGATTGTTTTCTTTTTTGGGTCTGCCTCTCAGTGCTCTGCAGGAAGCCAGATCTTACCACCTAAACCATAAAATTTCTTGAGAAACATAAATAACTTCTCTCTTCTTGAGGAGAGTAGGCTGATGTAACCCACAGTCAATAATCTGAGACAGACTCTTTCAGAAAAGAGTGTAGGGATGTTATGGCCAGGCCAGTACTTGTGATAACCAGGCACCAGCTGTGCTGAGTACACATGTGTACCCACAGGCATGAACATACAGAACACACGCACACATGTGTATACACAGGTGTATACGTGTACAGGCACAATACATAGACATATGCATATACACAGTGCACATATATGCATGCGAACATGCACATACATACACACATGAGTGTACTGCACAAAGTACATGGGAATACATGCTGAAACAGGAGTGCATACGTGTGTGTGTGGGGGTGCCTGTTCGTACTCATTTGGACATCCAAGGCCACAGCACCTAAACACACTAGGTTTCTGGTGAACTGTATGTCATGTTTAACTGTGGTATATGTCAGGGTTTTAGGACTCATTAAGGCTATATAAAAATGTAAATCCAGTAAGGTCTAGCTGTCCTCATACTCTTCCCATGTGGAGGAGAGGAAGAGGACCTGACTCAGACTCCAGACAGAAGGGTGGTCTCTGACCTCACCTGCAGGTCAGGCTCCGGGGATTAAGGTGCTTGCATTTGACCTCCACGGAGCTTGGAATCTGTCTAAAGCCTGAGTCCAGAGACCACCCAAAGAGACTGACCTCACTTCTAGACCTCCCTCTCACTTAGTGGGTGAGTAACAGCAAGCCATGACGACTTCTGACTTACCTTTCTAGCCCTCAGATGAGAATGAGAGTGTGCGCCTTTGCAACCTTCCCTGGCAATCAATGGAATGAGACAGTAAAAGAGAAAACACCATCTAAATGGCAGAGTGTCATGAATTGTGGGCTAGCGCCCTTCAACACTGCTCCCCAGGAAGAACAGCCAGCAGTTAGACTCTCACAAATGAGTGCCATGGGGTTTGAAACTACCCACTCACGGGGGGGGGCTGAGTCACCCTCCCCACCCAAGCTCGACACATAAGTGTCATTGTACGCATGCACGGGACCAGTTTAAAGGGCTTAGGAACCTGGGTCCCACAAGCTGAAAACACTCCAAAGCCCCATAACTTGGCAAACAGGGTTCAGAATGAGGCTGTCCCCACACAGCTGGCAGGGCACGCTGAGGCTGAGTCAAAGGAAAATAGTTATTGTCACCCTGGCAGAGGTTCTATAACCTCCAAGAAACATTTCTTATATTCAATTAGGTAACCAACATCATTTCAAACCTCATATTTATGGCTGTCCCTTATGGTGTAGGCGTATTTGTTCTCTGAGCCTGTGCCTGAGAACACTAAGCATCTTTGGGGTAATTCAATATTCAGGAGCATTTTGTGGCATAGAATTGTGAAATACTTGTACTCAGGCAGATGACACAGTCCAGTGGCCTGTGCTTTGTGGAGAACACACTGTCTGCCCGAACCTCTGCCTGACTATCCCTCCTGGCCCAAGATTGGCTTCAGGTGTCTGGGGGATAGAGTATGGCTCCCACAGACCCTGGGGGCTCTTTTCCAACTTAGGGGAAGTGTCTGTTTTCTAAGTAACCAACTCTGAAACAAAAGTAACCAACTCTGAAACAACAGTTGACTGAGGTCAAGAAATCTACTTTTCCCTTGGCTTTTAATTTCTTTTCTTCCCCTTTCTGACAGGGTCTCATGTGGTCCAAACTGATAGGAATTCAACATGTAGCTGAAGATGACCTTGAACTCTAATCCCTGCCAGAGTGCTGGGATTAGAGGTGCGCGCCACACACCCAGTTTATGCAGTGCTGGGGATGGAAACCGGGCAGTGCCTGGTGCATACTAGGTGAGCTCTCTGCCGGCTGAGCCTTATCCTCAGCCCTGGCCTCGTAATTTCAGTGTGGAAATGAAAGGCCTTTTCTAGTCAGGTTCGTGGTGGGAGTGCAAACCCTAACTCTCCGGTCTCACCCTTCTGAGGGCTTTGCTTTTCCTCTTCCGCAAGACTTCCTCAAGGCTCTGAGAGTGTCTCATTGTTCTTCCTGCCTGGGCCTTCCGGTCTGGTTGATTTTTCTATCTACCCAATCAGCTCATGGAGGTAACGGGGCTGTATCCCTGGACCCAAGTCCTCTGCAGGTACAGGCGGGGTTCCCCACAGCAGCGGCCTCCTAGCCCTAGATGCTAATGTGGGGAAGAACGAGACTGCCTTTATCCTCTGAGGGTGGGGTAGGGGTTGGGTGGGGCTCAGGCCTCTAGGAGGCTCAGTGTTTTTAAAATGTCTAGGTTTTCCTAGTAGCGAGACACAAACCTTGACTCAACGATCCCACATGGAGTTTTATTGGTGGACAGGAAAGGAAAGGGGGGTGAGAGGTAACCAATCCGAGAGAGGGGGAGAGGGGGAGGGAGAGGGAGGGGAAGGAGGGAGAGGGGGAGGGAGAGGGAGGGGAGGAGGAGGGAGGTGAAGGAGGGGGAGGGGGAGGGAGGGAGAAGTAAAAGAATAAAAGAGAGCATAATCGAGCAGGGGTCAGTCCTTTAAAGGGATCCTTTGCACCTGCGTGGTTCTCACAGAACTCTGGGCTGGCCTGAGTGCATCTTGCTAGGTAACAGGGCAGGCCAGCGTACTGCCTGAACCTTTCACTCAGGCCTGGGGTAGGGAGCTCAGACACCCTCAGAGGGGAGTGCAGGTGCACAGACTGTGAACCCTAGCCGTCAGTGGACTTCAGGCTGCCCGGGTGTATGCACATGTGTAGACATCTCACCAACCCAATGGTAAATTCTGACTTCGTACCTGCTGCCCTTACACAATGGAAGTCACCTAAAAGGTGAACGAACTGCTCTCACCGTGGCCGTTGCTCACGGGACCCAGATTGGTTGTTTCCACAATCGTCTGTTTCTATTTTTCCACCCCAAGATAATCTCTGCTCTTGCCCCGCCGAGAGGAACCCCTTGTTTAACTTCACAGGCCACACGCACAGCTGAAAATGAGGGAGCTGCTACAGTTCAATGTCTCCAGCTGGACCCAGCGCCCAGCCAGTGGTCCGTCTGCACTCCATTATCCCTCCTGGTCTGGTCCATCTGCACTCCATTATCCCTCCTGGTCTGGTCCATCTGCACTCCATTAACCCTCCTGGTCTGCTCCGTCCGCACTGCATTAGCCCTCCTGGTCTGCTCCGTCTGCACTCCATTAACCCTCCTGGTCTGCTCCGTCCGCACTGCATTAGCCCTCCTGGTCTGCTCCGTCTGCACTCCATTAGCCCTCCTGGTCTGGTCGCATCTTGTTATTATCCTCATACCCAAAAAAACAAACAGATGTCTCTCCCACAGCCTCTGCCTTCCCCTGCATGTCAGAGGTTTGCTCCAGGTGACCCCTGTCACCCCAGTCCCCGGGAGCTCCTGCCTCAAACAGCTGCTTTCTCCCGGCATTCTATTTTGTCACCGCCCTGTTTCTTGCACTTTCAGACAAACCATCTACTCCTGTTCACCTCCCAGCTGTGGGGCGCGCTCTTTCACTGAGACCTGTTTCTACCCACCATGCCCACTGCCTTCAGGATGGCTCCTGGGGACAACCTCAACAACCCCCCCCTGAATCCCAGGATAGACTTGCTATATAGCCAAGGATGATCTTCAACCTTTTTCCCCCCTAGATAGGGTTTCTCTGTAGCTTTGGAGGCTGTCCTGGAACTCACTCTGTAGACCAGGCTGGCCTTGAACACACAGGGATCCGCCTGTCTCTGCCTCCCGAGTGCTAGAATCAAAGGCATGTGCCGCCAATGCCTGGCTCGCTCTTCATCTTTTGATGCTCCTGTGTCTGCCTCTGAGTGTCAGGGTTGCAGCAGGTGTGCGCTGCCACACCCAGTTGATACAGTTCTGAGGACCGGACCCAGGGTTGCCTGCACCATAGGCAATCGCTCCATCAACTGAGCCACACCCTCAGCCCTAGAAGGGTTTCTTTCCACATCCCTATTCCTCTCCAGCACGCACTCTGGCAGATGTTGGCATGAGCTGAGGGTTCAAACTCCTCCCCACCGTGGTGGTTTGAATAAGAACGGCCCCTGAGTCTCATATATCTGGAGGCTTAGTTACCAGGGAGAGGAATCATTTAGAAAGGTTAGAAAGAGGCGTGGTCCTGTTGGAGTGGGTGTGGCCCTGTTGGAGTGGGTGTGTCTCTGCGGTGAGCTTTGGGGTTTCAAAAGCCCATGCCAGGCCCTGTCTCAGTCTCTCTCCTTCTCTTCCTCCCTCTCGGCTTGCAGATCAGGTTGTGGCTCTCAGTTATTCCCCAGCGCCGTACCCGCCAGCTGACATGCTCTCTACCATGATGATAATGGACTAAGCCCCTGAAACTGTAAGCCAGTCCCTAACTAAATGCTTCCTTTTATGGGTTGCCGGGGTCATGGTATCTCTCTCTTCATAGCAACAGAACAGTGACCAAGATGCCCTCATACTCTGCATCAGCCTTTCACCCAAGTTGCCGTTAGTAAATGTTATCAGTGAAGTGAAAACTGCTTCTGGGGACACACAAATCCCTTCCAAACAGATAGCCATTCCGAACCCTCTAAGTGTAGACTTTGAAAATGCAGAAAGTGACCGTTGATAGAGCGTTGCTTACTTCTCAGCATTTGGCTTTCCTGGAACCTGAGGGAGAAAGTGAACCCAGCTTGTCAGCCTCTCGCTGTCTCTCCCTTCTACAGTTCCAGCCTTCTTCATCGACGCCAAGGCTGTTTGACACTCAAGCACCAACCACACGTGGGTATTTGGACATGGCCAGTCCGAACTGAGATGTGGTATGGCGTAAGACAATACTGGATTTTGAAGACCTAATACCTCAAAGTGAAAAATCAGTTCATTACTAATTGTATATGGGTTACATATTGAAATGGGGTACTGTACACACAGGGTCCAATAAACATTACAAGTGACTTCCCATTCTATTTTTTACTTGCTTGAATGTGAATGTGGCTATTAGAGATTATAAAATGATACGTCACACGCATGTCCACTGGTTAAGGCTGCAGTTTCCAGGCCCTCACACAGGTCTCAGTGTAGCTTCCAAAGTCTGTGTTATTTCTCCTTTCTCCCTAAGGTCACCTACCTTGCCCATGCCTACACAACTAATTACAAGTCTTTTTCATTGGTTTTAAGACAGGTCTTATGTAGCTCAGGTTTTCCTAGAACGCCCTGTGTAGTTGAAGGTGAGCTCGAACTTCTGATCTCCAGCGTATGTGCAGCATCACACCTGCTCTCTGACTAGAGAACTTCTGATCTCCGGCGTATGTGCAGCATCACACCTGCTCTCTGATCTCCAGCGTATGTGCAGCATCACACCTGCTCTCTGACTAGAGATCTTGACACTAACCCCCCACATTCCTTTCCACACTCTCCCCAGATGGCAATGGAGCAAGCAAGCAGACAGAGCTCCTGGGCAACCATAGATAATTCCAGCATCCTTGTAGTGACTGTATTCCTAGAACTTTCTCTTTTCTCATCTCACAATTCTTTTGAAGAGATAGATGAGGTAAAAATGTCTTTGAATCCTCCTGGCAAAAAACAAAAACAAAAACAAAACAAACAAAAACCACATCAGCAACACCAAGTCACAATAATGTCCCATTACAAGCAAAGGCAACACTAAGGAAGCAAACCCAGCTGGTGGTTAGCCATTCATCACTGAGAGCACGGCTATCCCCTTAGAGGCTAAACATAAGATATCTCACTGTCATCAGCCGGGAAGAGTATTTATGCTGCTCTTGGACTGGCGCCCAGGGACAGAGTATTAACAAAATCATTCGTCTGGGCTGTGCTTTCAAGTCTAGCATCAGTGAAAACTCTGTTTATTTAAAGGGAGATTAGCTGTGGTTTGCTGTGCTTATTTACCTCTTAGTAGTTCAAGTGACTATGACTATTCTTGACTTTCTCCTGTGTAAAATGTACTTGTTTGGGGACTGGAGAGATGGCTTAGCAGTTAAGAGCACTTACAGTTCTTGTGAAGGACCGGTCTGGTTCCCAGAACCCACATAAGGCAGCTCATAGCCATCTGTAACTTCAGTTCCAGGAGATCTGATGCCCTCTTCTGGCCTTTGTGGGCACTGCACACAGTTGGTACACACACACACACACACACAGACTCACACACATACACTACATTTAAAAATATTCTTGTTAAGGAGAAACTATTTTCAGGAACACAGATGATTTGCCTTGATAATTATTTTCCACAAAATTAAATTATGGTCCAAATAAGGGACTGGATGGTACTGCTGTACCTAAATACCAGTTGTGTATTTAGTCTCTGATTAACTGGCCTAGGAGGAAGATGTCTAACCCAGAGCCGCTAGATTGAAGAGGATGGTTCAGGGTGGGAGTCCACTGCTGCCTTTCCCTCTTGGGCTTTCCCCACTGCTGCCTTTCCCTCTTGGGCTTTCCCCACTTCTGGACTCTGTTCTGACTTGGACCCACCAACTAATCCTGCAAAAAACCTTCCAACAAAACCAGCAACAGCCTTGGCCTTTCATTTCTCTACATAACAAGGAAACACATGATGGGTAGGAAAGTTTAACCTCAGACCAATTTGCCCTCCATGGTATTGAGACTAAGCCTCAGGAGCACACGAGGAGTTTAGTCCCACGGTCTGGTGTTCGAGTCCGTTTACACAGCCTTGTGTTGATTACGAATGCAGTGAGTGACCTGGTTAGGGTTTCTTTTGCTGTGATGAAACCCTATGACCAAAGGCAACTTGGGGAGGTGTTCATCGTCTTATTTTTTCCTCACCACTGTTCGTCACTGAAGGAAGGCAGGGCAGGAACCTGGAGTTGGAGCTGATGCAAAGGCCATGGAAGGGTGCTGCTTACTGGCTTGCTCAGTTTACCTTTTATAGAACTCAGGACCACAAGCCAGGATGCCTCCCCACTTACGAGCATCAAGCACTGATTAAAATGCTCTACAGCCTTGTCTGCAGCCCAGTTTCATGGAGACATTTCTCAGTTGAGACTCCCTCCTCTCCAGTGACTCTAGCTTGTGTCCAGTTGACATAAAATAAGCTAGCACACTGCGTATTATAGAATTAGACACCTCAGCGTTTTTATATTTTGGGTTGTGAGCCTAGCCTTTAATGATTGAGCCATCTTTCCAGTCTGACCTCAGAGTTTTTACAGTAGAATCTCCAGTCCCTTCCCTTCCTATCTTTTAAATTGTGGGGAGGCAGATTTTCCTAAAACAAACAAACAAACAAAACAATCTGGTCAGGCATGCCTGTGGTTTGCGATGAAGGAAGGCTCTTACTTCCGGCCATGCTGTGCAGATGGGTAAGCTGATCTGCGAAGGGAGGGTACCAGGTGGGCCACGTTTGGTCAATAAACCCTATCTGAAGGGAAATTTTCCACCTGTGGCAGAGAGAAAACCAGAGGCTAGGAGGCTGAGGTGCAACCTCTTCCTGAGCGGAGATGGGACCAGTGATGGGGGACGAAGGTAAGTGTCCCACTCCAGTTAACCGCAGCCACAGGAGTCCAGGCCTGGAGCTGTTAAGAACTGGACTCGGGAGGCCTGAGGTACCTTGGAGAAGGTAAAGCCCGGTAAGTTGCCTCCTGGGGTTTTTTTTGTTTGTTTGTTTGTTTGGTTGGTTTTTTCGAGACAGGGTTTCTCTGTATTGTTTTAGAGGCTGTCCTGGAACTAGCTCTGTAGACCACGCAGGCCTCGAACTCACAGAGATCCATCTGCCTCTGCCTCCCGAGTGCTGAGATTAAAGGCGTGCCCCACCAACGCCTGGCTGCCTCCTGGGTTTTGATGCCAGCAGAAGCTATAGAGGGTCTAGTTTTTAGAGGCTAAGTTTCTAGCAGCTTGTGCAAAGAAGAGCAGCATACTCAGGGAATTCATTCAGTTTCATTTTTCTTTTTTTTTTCTTCCAACTGTTTGCTTCTTTAAAGAGTATCTCTGTTAAAGTATCTTCACAAACACCAGTTAGTTAATTACCAAGGGTTAGGGTTAGACCAGGCTGGCCTCGATCCGACTGCCTCTGCTTCCCAAGTGCCCGGATAAAAAGTGTTAACTACTGCCACCCGGCATTCAACACAGTACCTTTATTTTTGGGAGACAGGTTTATTGACTTGAGTGTGATCAAGATGACCCCTCCTCCTCCCCAGCAATGAGTAACTATTAAGAATCTCTCAGGGAACCATCTTGTGAGTCAGGGCCTGATTCCAGTTCCCAACACCCACATCTGGCAGCTCTCAGCTGTCTAGCTTCGGATCTAGGGGATCTGATGCCACCTTCTGGTCTCTGAGGACACCTGCTCTCAGGTGTCATACACAGACACACAGATATCCATAAATAAAAACATATATATGTATGTTTTTATATATGTTTGGTTTTTCAAGACAGGGTTTCTCTGTATTGTTTTGGAGGCTGTCCTGTAGACCAGGCTGGCCTTGAACTCACAGAGATCTGCCTACCTCTGCCTCCTGAGAGCTGGGATTAAAGGCGTGCGCCACCAACGCCCGACAAAAGATGCATCAAAAGCCTTTTCTGTCCCTAAGCTGCAAAAATTTGTGCAAAAACTTGCAAATAATCATTAATTAGGTTATTGGTACTAGTGTATACCAATACTGATGTCACTGAGCCCAAAGAAGTGATGGAAAAGTAGAAATAAGGTGAGTGTTCCAGGAAATACAAGCACTGGGGACCTTCAGTGATCGGGGGTGGAGGACTCATAAAATTTCCAAATGTTTTTAATGAGCAAAGAAAGTATTGTGAAGGTTGACAGGGGACTTATGAGTGAGAGCATTCAAGGGCCCAGGCTTTAGCCTGAGGTCTCTTCTTATTGGGTGTAAAGGAAGATAGGGCTGGTTACTAAGGGATGTAGTTTGGGTAGCTCCCTATTGATTGATAGATTAGGTCAGATATTCACTTTTCCCACTGTGACGTCCCATCCCATAATGCATCTGACTTTAGTCATATGCACAGACATAGAAGGTAAATGGGGCAGTCTTTCCAAAGTTTACCGGAAGACACAGTTTTGCCTTACTGCATATGTACCCCAAAACCAGTTCAAGCTGGACCAGCCCCCCCCCTTTTTTGTTTTTTCGAGACAGGGTTTCTCTGTATTGTTTTGGAGTCTGTCCTGGAACTCTCTCTGTAGACCAGGCTGGCTTCAAGCTCACAGAGATCTGCCTGCCTCTGTCTTGGATCAGCCCTTCTAATCTTCGTATTTTGGTATGTCGGATATTCACTTGGATACTGACTAAATCTGATTGTTACCAGGAACAAGGAAGCTTACACTTTTGTTCAGAGAAGGGAGGATGTGCAGCTCAATGCAGGTGAGACTCCAAACGTGTCCTGGGCACACTGCTTGGAGGGGGTGTGTACGCACAGTACATGCAGAAGGAACTAGACTGCTGAATTCACTTTTATGGGAGAGTCTGCATAAACCCAAACCAAATGGGGAGCCCCGAACCAAACCGCCTCCTACGCTTGCTTCAATGGAAGTCAGAGGGCATCTCTGTAAAGTGGAGACAGACTGTCCATCAGTCTGAGTTAGTAACTGCAGAATGCGTTCACACATATGTCATGTCCATCTTGAGAACCTGAAGATGTCCCTCAGTAAACTGGCCCGAAGACATTTCTAGGTAAAATGAGTCACAGCTTTGTCTTTAAAATTAGAATAGAACTTTATTTGTGGAATTGAGATTTTGAAAATGATTTTATAGTTTATGCAATAAATTTTGATACATTAATCTGGATATACATTTACCATATAAGAAAGAATTTAAAAACAATGTCAAATAGCTTATCACCAAAACCAATTATGTTTAACTTGATTATTTTTAAGGAATAACTTGGACATTATAAATAAAAAGCGAAAACAAATTATCATTTGGATTTGCATTTGTAACATAATTTTGTGTTTCATTTGTGTGTGTGGGAGGAGAATTAGAAAAAATGAAGGCTAAAATACTTTCCTGGAAAAGTACAAAGCCTTTACTTTGTGAAATTGGGTCCACAACTCCCCAGCAGTCGAATGTCACTGAGACATTCCCATGCAGACTGGACGAGGGGCTGTGGTGATCTATCCAGGCTCCTTCAGACCATTGGTCCACGCCTGGGTGAGTGGGGGAGTGAGCCTGGACATCCTAAAACCAGGTTCCAGTGAAGTCATTGGACCATTCAAGGGGCTATCTGCCTATGAAGAGAAAGCTTGTGTTTTCTAAGCTTTGCTGTTGATGGCTTCTCCAAGGTGGACCAAACAGCCATGCACAAGTCTGTTTCACAAGACAGTTTCCCCCTTAGTTCCAAACAATGGGGACATTCCAGATAACACACCAGCCCTTATTAGTGTTACTTTGCCACTGTAGAGAAAGAGAACTCTGATGCTGAGATCCATGCATGAGTACATATATATATAGTACATATATATGCCAGCACACATTTGGGGCCAGCCATATCCTTTCATCCTCACCTACTCTAAATCACTTTCTCTGTAGGTGAGCATCCTCACTGGGAGCAGAGGCAGCTCTGGTGCCTGGCAGGAAAGCATTTAAGAAGAACTGCCTGATCTTTTGGTACTCCAGAACTTACCTTAACCTTGCAAGACAAAAGGGTGGGCATAGCTATTCACACTGGCAGATGATGAAACTGGAGCCTTGTAGTGCAGGCCAATGATAAAATCAAGACCACACAGGTGGTCATGCCTGGCTGACTCAATAAAGACACTTGGGAAGCATGCACTGGCCTGGGGTTACTTTCCCTGACCCACATGATGATGTGACCCACGGAAAGGGTTTTTGCTACTGTCATTGGAATCCCTACCATGGGCTGACAGGCACATGTCTTGTTAGAGTCAACAAGCTAAAACCAATGGCCATACGTACTTGGGACAGCTCCCATGGGGCATTTATATGCACCCCGGAAAGTTCTTAACACATGAGTACATTACTTTATACATACCACATTGAAAAGCAGGCTTAGTTTTTTCATATACATGCATAATGAGCATTTTCTGCATAATCACAACATCATAAGGATGAATAAAAAGAGTCAGCATATATGCTCTCTGCAGGTGGACTGGGACCTCGCCTCCCTTTCCTCCTGCTTTGGAGGCTGCTCATCCCTGCTGTCTGCTGTTTATGAAGTCAGCTACACATCTCTAGGTTTCTTTAGGATGACAATGGAGCTGGATTTCACTGCTGACAATTTTATCTCAGGCCCTGGTACATAGCTGGCACTGTCTATGTGTGCTGATTCAGGCATGGGGTCTCTTCCTATACTTCAATGTGGTTTCGGTGGGATTCCACCTGTAGCATTTGCCTCAAGAGTTTTTGACTTTTAATAAAACATAATTTTCATAGTAAACAGTTTTTTTTAGAAAGCATAAGAAACCTGGTAACAAATTTATACAAATTATGCACTGAACTACTCTTTGGTTATTTTAAACAAATTCTTTTATACTAATGTGATACTAAAAATATAAAAATGCAACTACAGAAATTCGCTTAATCTGTAAACATAATGAACTCCGTAAACACGTATGCACTACGTGACTGCAAGCGTGAAGAGTGGCTGGTAAGGGCAAGTCATACATGTAACTCGATTCTTCACGGCATGCGTAGAGACACTGTTTCGTGGAGATTGTTTAGTGTTTGAAGGGATTCTAAACGCACTAACACATAATAACTGTAGGCTTGAGGGTACACAGGCAAGAGGGAGGCCTAACACTCTCTACACATTGCAAATAAAAGCTTGTTCCTCCACTCGTCTTCTGAATGGCCTGGAGACTCAAGCTGCATGCTAACAAACGTGAAATACATCCCGAGTGAAGAGTAAATATTTTTTTTTGCAAGTGATTCAAGTGACTAAAACCATAAATGACACATTTTCCAAAGTTGTTCCAAAGATCTAGGCAATAAGGTACACTAGGCAAGTTCTACAGAATAAGTAGTGACAAGTAGCACTAACTGTGTCGCAGTTACTCAATATTAAAGACTTTTTGTCCAAATTTCATCTCAAAGAAGCGTCAAATTTTTCCCACCAGATATTACAGATATTTCACAGTTGGAATCTCAGTAGTTTCAGAAAGATGTGCCTAGCAAGATGAGATACGGTCAGAACTCAAGCACACAGGACTTAAATGCCCTGTCGCGTGAACCCCAACAACAGGACAAAGTAACTGGACAAATGAACACTTCAATATGGTGGTGGCTGAAACCATGGATGAACTGTCCTCTGGTCTCTTGGGGAAGAGCCAGTGACTATCTTTTAGAAGTACTCTGGAAAATGTTAAGATGCAATTTTGCTTAAAAACTATGGTGTTTAAGACACCACAGCTTGTTCCTTGTAATCTAATCGACCCCATCAAAGCCCTGAGTGTTTTCAATCGCCATCTGAAGTTTATCCCAGAGTTCTTCAAATGACTCATAGGGTGGCAGGTCCAGGCGATTAAAGCTGAAAGGATGGAGAGGATCTGGTTAGATTTAACAGCGATGCAGTAGATGTCACCATGGCAACTGCAGTATCATTGCCACTTGTCAGAAATATGTTCCATCATTGTTATCAGAGGTCACAATAGGCAGGGAGGTTCCTTATGCAGTCTTGACCTCACCACCCGCCCCCCCAATAAGTGGGTTCCTTGACTGTTAACCTCCAAGATAGAATATTCTAGCACTTTTGTGATAGGTCATCACCCATGGAACGGGGGCAATATATATGGTCAACAGTTAGTTGGGCCTCTCTGCTCTGTCCTTAGCTACCTGGATTTTGAGCCCAAGCAGCATGAATTCTGCGTTTCTGTTTGTCTCTTCCTCTCTCCTAAGGCTGCCACACACCCATCCCACAAGGGCGTGGTAGGGGCGGCTCCTAGGGCAGCAGGAAGGGGAATCCTGCTCCATCAAGGGTGAAACAGCTACTCACCAGGTATGTGCTCTTGGCAGCTTATCAGGGGTGCCCCACTGTTCAACTGTGAAGGACTGTGGTCCATTCGAGCCTATGAGGAAACAGTTTCTGTGGTTTAACTTACTTTACCCACAAGACCCTAGACATTGCAAAACACACTCTTGCTATATGTAGAACTTGCACACATAGAAACCTGGCCTGTGCTTGGATTTGCCGGCAAGTCGTAAAACAAACTGCCTGTGTTTCATCTATGAGTGACACGCCCCTCTGCCCCACTTGGTACACCTGGTGACACACCCGGCTCTGACCAAGCTGCATCTCCAATTAGGGTTTTCTTTACAGGTACAGAGAGGAAGTGAGGGCTCTGCTTTTGATTCCCATTGAAGACAGGTATGTCTCCCCTTTTCTGATTATATAGTCACTGTAAAACTGGAAAATAGCAGAATAAAACAGAACCAAAGAGCATAAAGTCATTCACACCCTAGTTCACAAGGTGTGGTTAAGCTGGGGAGGGCTTTGTGTGTAGTTTCTTTTGTTTGTTGTTTTCCAGTGTTGAACTTAGGCACTTGACTCCCGAGCCACAGTCTCAGTCTTGAGTTTTAAAGAAATTTAAATTATATGTATTCCTTATTATTTTCTGTGTGTACCTTAGCGTACATGTGCTAAGGTCCGTGTGTGGAGGTCAGAGAACAACTTGTGAGAGTTCTCTCTCACCATGGTGTGGGTTCTGGGGATTGAACTCAGGTCATCTAGCTTGGTGGCCAGTGCCCGGACTGTTGAGCAATCTCAGTGGTCTGCTGTTCAAGGCTGGGCCTCGAAATATAGCTGAGGCTGGCCCTAAACTTCTGTCAGTCCCAAGTACTGGGATTACAAGTGTGAGAGCCCATACTTGATTTAGGAGTCTTTCTGAGTGTATGCACACTCACATAGTTAGAGCCGTGGTTCCCACCTTCCTAACGGCGCCACCCGTTAATACATACAGTTCCTCATGTGTGGTGACTCCAAACCATACAATTATTTTGTCGCTACTTTATAACTAATTTTACTATTGTATGAGTCGTATGTAAATATCTGCTATTTAGGACATCTGACATGTGACCCACCAAGGCGTTGAGACCCACAGGTTGAGAACTGCTGACAGATGTCCACTCGATCCTGTTCCATTATACATAAGTACATTATAGTACTTATGTTACTATAAGTGTTCTCATTATGGACATTTTAGAAACTGCCTTTCCTTTTCTCTCAGAGTTTCCACTTAGCTCTCTCCAATCCCCAGCACCCCAACCACCAGATAATGAGACTCCTATGCTGGTCTGTGACTTTCCATTCTTCTCCTTACATCTCATAATCCCTTCCAAATGTTGCCAGAAGCAGTGAGAGAGCATTTCATATTCTCAGCAGTCAGTTTTCTTAGAGGCATACCTTTGCACATCTCACCCACCACGATCAGATTCACAGCTACACGTTTCAGTACTAGGGCTGCAGAGGGCTCCGGGGTAAAGAGCCCACACCACTCTTGCAGAGGACCCAACGTAGGCTCCCAGCACCCACAATGGGTGGCTCACAACCTCCTCAACTCCAGCTCTGGGGAATCTGACACCCTCTTCTGGCCTCCATGGGTACCAGGCAAGCACGTAGTACACAGACATACAGGAAGGGAAAACACCATTACACATGAAATAAAAGGAAAAATTAAGAGAGAGAGAGAGGTGTGTGGTCTCATCTGGGGTCCTGCCATCTCCCTCAAGAAGGAAGAACCTGCTGACAGCCACTACTCCATAGATCACACCAAACCACTAAAGGAAAATCAAGAACCCACGACCAAGAAAACTCTGGAAAACCTTAAGAAATCTTCTGGATCTTCCTCATCGATAAGAGAATAGGTTTCAAGCCCCCCCATGGATGCCTTAAAGAGTGGGTAGCACTGACCCCCATGTTTGCTGGTGTTACATATCACACACTGACACCAACAAGGTAGTAATTAATAATCAACAAAGAGGAGAATGTAAACAGCACAGGGCAGCCAAAGCCATGAATGAGGTCTCTGCTTTTTTTTTTTCTTTTGAGGGAGGGTGGTTCTCTGTGTGGCCTTGGCTGTCCTTGAACTCTCTCTGTAGACCAGGTTGTTCTCAAACTCACAGAGATCCTCCTGCCCCTGCCTCCTGAGTGCTGGGACTAAAGGAATGTGCCACCACTGCGTGGCTGTGGCCTCTGCTCTTTACTGAAACACCTTTCAATATTTTTGGATGGATTGTTGTAGTTGAAATAGCAAAGCGAATCGTTGGACAAGAGAGACAGTTGAACTTTCTTATCCCGAGGCCACTATTCACTGCTTAGATGCTGGCTAACGACCTTTCAGTGCTGTCCCTACCTGTCATTACCCCAGAGCAGTAGTTCTCAACCTGTCAGACAAGACCTTTGTCGGTGTGTGTGTGTGTCAAGCTACCCTTCTACATGGGTCACCCAAGACCAGCCAAAAACACAGATATTTACAGTTCATAACAGTAGTCAGTTATGAAGTAGCAATGAAAGGGTCACCACAGCACAAGGAACCATCTTTTTTTTTTTTAAGATTTATTTACTTATTTCATATACAGTGTTCTGCCTACATGCCAGAAAAGGGCACCAGATTGAATTGTAGATGGTTGTGAACCACCATGTGGTTGCTGGGAATTGAACTCGGGACCTCTGGAAGAGCAATCAGTGCTCTTAACCTCTGAGTTAACCTCTGAGCCGTCTCTCCAGCCCCCGCGAGGAACCATCTTAAAGGGAAGTTGAGAACCACTGCCTTCCAGGCACTAATGTTTCTGGGACCACAGAGAAAATAGAGCTTAATGCTCAAGAATCGAAAGTAACTCAACCGTTTCCCAGTTTCTCCTTCATTCTCTGATTACAAGGTAGAAATACAACCTGACCTACTTCGGTATATCAATCACTTAAAAGTCTTAATTCTTAGCCGGGCGTTGGTGGCCCACGCCTTTAATCCCAGTACTCGGGAGGCAGAAGCAGGCGGATCTCTTTGAGTTCGAGGCTAGCCTGGTCTACAAGCGCTAGTTACAGGACAGCCTCCAAAGCTACAGAGAAACCCTGTCTCGAAAAACCAAAAAAAGAAAAAAAAAAGTCTTAATTCTTTGTGTGCCTACGTGCACGCACGTGTGTGTTGGAAAACAACCTCAGGTGCTGCTCCCTAAGGCATCACACATTTCTTTTTCCTGGGTCACGGTCTCTTAGCCACTTGTAGCTTGCCAAGCAGTCTAGGCTGGCCAGCCACTGTACTCCAGTGACCCACCTAACCCTGCCGCCCAGGACCGGGATTACAAGTGAGCCTCTAGACCCAATTTTCAATATTAATTCTGAGATAGTCTCAAGTGCTTGCCAGGTATGCACTTTACCAACCAAGTTGTTTTTCAAGTCCTCAACTTAATTCTTTAAAATTAAGTGAAGCATCGTGAAAACGGTAGAAGCCTGAAGACTTATCAGCCATGAAAATGACAGTCAATGGCTGCGTTTCTGAGAGATCTGTGCAGAACCCTTACCATAGAGTTCAGCAAATCCGTTCATAGGCACCCGGGACGTGCCAGTAACAAACTGAAGCAAGCGTATTCTTTTTTCTGAGTCCATCATTAAAACAGCCTGAAAAACAGAGACGTCAGACAAATTATCCTGGGGAAAAACCTATTAGAATTTAGAGAACTGATAATCACTACATTGTTCTTATTCTCAAAACCTCATTTCCAAGTCTTTACTCTTGGGGCTACACAGAGATGGCCCAGACGTTAAGAATGCTTACTGCTTTTGCAGAGGACCTAGAATCAGTTCTCAGCAACCACATGTTGGTTCACAACTGTCTGTAACTGATGCCCTCTTCTGACTCCTGCAGGCACTGCATATGTGTGATGTACATAAACTCATACACACACACACACACACACACACACACACACACACACACACACACACACACTTTTTAAAAACATCCTTAGTAATTACATTTATCGACATTACTGAATGGTGTAAGAGAATTTAAAGGAGTCACACTGCAGGTTATCACAAGTTCTTGAAAGAATCACCACTTCGGTGCAATGCTAGCGTGTCTACTTTGGCTCGTTTACAACTATTCTGAATGCTTCCTCTCCTTACCTCTAAATATCAGAAGGGTGGGATCACACTCAAAGACAGAACATACAAAATCAAACTTGTACATGTGTTCAGCTGGTGTGCTTTTCTGGGCTACCCGTGTGCATGCACCCAAAAGTTATTCTAGAGGCGCACAGTATAATTGAATCTACCAAAAAGCAAGTTTGAGATTACCTTCCAGAACCAGTGGATGACCTGGTGGTTCATGCTGTAGCCATTTTTGTACTTTGTATGTTCCTTCCAGTCGCTGACATCCACGTCACCCAGGCCACACATGAGAAGCTGCAGATAAGATTAGCAGTCAGAACTTCAAGCAGGAGAAACTGGGGGCAAAGCTGGTTTTCTTTTTCTTTTTCTGCAGACAGGTTATCACTATGTACCTCTGGCTGTTTTGGAACTAACTATAAATATCAGGCTGGCCTCAAACTCACAAAGATCTGTCTGCCTCCATCCCACCCTCTAAGTGCTGGGATTAAAGGCATACACCACTATGCCTAGTCAAAACTATTTTAACATAAAATAGCTCTCACTTTGTTGATTTTTTTTTATTCCATCTACTATTTACTTAGTTGTGTGTGTGGCATGTGTATGGCATGTTGCCAGTGTGAAAGTCAGAGGACAGAGTCAGTCTCCCTTCTAGGGCTCAAACTTGGGCTGTCAGGGGTCGGTGTTAAATGCCTTTCCCACTAAACTATCTTGTTGGTCCTCCAGTTCTCTCTTTAACGACAGGGTCGCCTGTAGTACCAGGTTAGCTTTGAACTCATAAGGAAGCCGAGGATGGCTCTTGCTTTCACCTCTTGAGAGCTGCATAGCAGGTGTGCACCACTATACCTGGCTTTCGCTCTCCTCCTGATGGAGCCCAGGGCCTCATGCGTGCTAAGCACACTCTCCTTTCTCCCCACCTCCTCTCCATAAACTCTACCACTCCACAGACTGAGCTGTATTCTCTCCTCCCTGCTTCTCTCCACTCCTCTGTCTTCTTTTTCTCACCCGCCCCCCCCGGGTGGCGCTGAGGACTGAACTCAGGACCGAGTTCTTACCACTGAACTATATTCCCAGCCACACACAGAAATATTTCTTACCTCTAGTTCATTTTCATCAAATATCTTGATGAGATCCTGTGGTATCAGTTCAAAGAATCCCTGAAAGGAAATGAATGTGTCCCAAGCTGGTTAGCAGACTTAGCTCCTATGCCTGGGCATCTTGCAGCATGGGAGCACTCTCATGTAGCATGGGAGCACTCTCACATCTACAGACGCCAGTACACATTCATGAGCTCTGCACCGTGATCCCAATAGGAGAAAATGAGAGGCCCTGGTCGGCTCTCTGTCTTTTTTTTTTTTTTTTTTTGGTTTTTCGAGACAGGGGTTCTCTGTGGCTTTGGAGGCTGTCCTGGAACTAGCTCTTGTAGACCAGGCTGGCCTCGAACTCACAAAGATCCGCCTGCCTCTGCCTCCCAAGTGCTGGGATTAAAGGCATGCGCCACCAACGCCCGGCTCGGCTCTCTGTCTTGATTGCTCAAAGTGACTGCATTAAAACATTCCACTACTTCTCAAGCCCCACCCACCCCATCATCACTTCTTCACAGCACAGAGAAGGAAGACAGAGGGAGGCAGGCCCAACCCCCACCCTGCTGAACCCCACGCTGGCAGTGTCACTGCAGGGGATGGAGGGCCCCTCTGGCAGCCTCATCACCTGCTGCTGCTTCCTCATTCCCTCCGCCCACTGAAGCCTGTCCAGTCCACAGCTGCCTTAAAAACACCTTAAAAACTCTTCTTCCTTTCACAGCCAAGCACACGGTACGTAAAGTCAAATCCAACTGTTCATACCCCAGCTGTGGCTCCACCAAACTGCCACCTGCACTGCTGCGGACAGAGCCAAGGTCACCTTTGCAGCGGTCTAGCAAACACTTCCTATTTCTATCCTCTTTGATCTTGTCTGCTTCTAAAAAATTACAAGTCTGTGCGTGCGCATTATTTTAAAAACATAGCATGGGGGTTTGTGTGTGTCCTGTTTCTACCTTCCAAGACAGGAATTACAGGTGGCGGCTGAGGCCACCCAGCATTTACTTGGGTTCTGGGGTCAGAACTCTGACCACACACTCGAATGGCAAGCACTCCGACGGCTCGGCTCCTCCCCTGCCTTCTCAGCGTTTGCTGCTCAGAGTGACTGTATTGGAAAGGTGAGCATCTACACTGCTCTTGCAGAGGACCTGAGTGTGGCTCCTAGCACCATGCTGGGCGTCTCACAACTGCCTGGGACTCTAACTCCAAGCGACCCTTCACTAGTTCCCAGACACGCAGTGTACATACTTTACAAACATAAGATTAGACTATACACACACTGAGCGTGGCTTTACAGAGCCCCACATCCTAGCTGAAGGTGTGGGAAGACAAGCGGAAAGGCGCCCTACCTCTTTGAAAGCAGCCATTTGTTTCTGGATTCGGTTCACAAAACGCCATTGTATTACAAGGCTAGAAAGAGAAAAAAAAAATCAAAACATTTTCCTCTCACACAAACCAAGAAACAATTTAACACATGTTCATTCCAGGTAGGAACAGACTAGCTGAAGAGAAGCAGGGAGGACTGAGGGGTATTGTTTCCAAGAAAATCGAGATTCTGGCCACGGGGGAACAAAGAACAAGTTAAGGAAAGAGCACAGAACTGTTTGTAGGAAAATACTCAGAAATAAATTACTTACTAAATATACTCCTTCTTGTTCTTATTGGTGACAACGATCTCTGATCCACCAGTTTTCAGTTCATGTTGATGTGTCTAAATCAAACATGATACGTTGTTTTAGTGAGGAAAATGAAGAGTGAAAAAGTGTACATGAGTTACACCAGAAGCCTGGTGTTTTAAATTAAATCCACTCAAAAGCTAAAAGCTAAGAAAACTTAAATGTTAGTTCTACTAAAATAAATACAGAATGAGTCAACATCAAAGCAACTACAAATGCTGGCCGAGAGACAGCTTTTGCTACCAGAAAAGGAAATTTAAAAGCAGTGCACAGAAGAGTTTCGGGCGTGTACTGATGACTACACTTAGGTGACAGCATTGGTTTTGCATACGAAGTATTGTCTGAAAGTCTACAAACCTGTCCAAAAAGTTCTTCATCTATGATAAATCTCAGGTCGAGCTCTGTTGGGTCATTTTCAAGAATCCATCGCAGTGAACTGTAATATTCGCTATCCTAGAAGGGAAATTACAAATTAATGAATTAATTTTGCAGTGCTGGGAACTGAACTCAGGACCCTGTACATCCAGAGCTGCACAGAAAAACTGCACTTAAAAAAAAAATCTGTATACACAGAGGCAGCTGAACGACCGCAACAACCACATTGGTGCTGGGGAGACGGCAGTCAGTGAACAGCTTGCTTCACAAGCTCAGGACCTGAGCTGGGATTCCTAGCACTGTATGAAAAGCCGTGCACAGGGCATCCACCCGAGATCCCAGCCCTAGGGAGGTGTAGACAGGAGGATCCCAGGCGCTCAACGGTCAGCCAGCCTGGCCAAGTCAGTGAACTCCAGGTTCAATGAGAGACACTGTCTCAAAGAATAAGATGGAGAGAAATGGAAAAGACACTGACATCAGCCTCTGCTCTCCACAAGTGCACACCATACATACATACATACGCACGCATACCACACATAGAGCTTATGAGCACTTTCCAACACCCACATGGCAGCTCACAATCATCTGCTACTCCAGTTCAGGGGAGCCAGCATCCTCTCCTGGCCTCTGACAGCACCAGACATACATATAGGCAAAACGCTTATATGCATAAAAATAAACACATCTTTTTTTTTAAAATCATACTGTTTGTACCAATAAAGTGTATCAAGAAGTAATAACAAAATACTTAGTACTAAAGATCCAACCTTGGAACCCACATGTGTTCACACTGCAGGGGGCCACCAGCAGCAGAGACAAGACTTGGTCCTTCAGCTTCTGTTTCTACAGGAGCCCACCACAACACCCCGTCTTTGGAATGCCAGCTTCTGTTTCTACAGGAGCCCACCACAACACCCCGTCTTTGGAATGCCAGCTTCTGTGTTTCTACAGGAGCCCACCACAACACCCCGTCTTTGGAATGCCAGCTTTAAACATTTGCCATCACTGCAAACGATTATAACTCAAAACCTGATGCAAAAGAAATATAACTAATGTACGGCATAAAAAACCCAGTGAGGTCTGGCAAGATGCCTCAGGGTGTAAAGGCAGCAGCCACCAAGCATGATGGTCTGAGTTCAATTGTTGGGATCCACATGACAGAACGAGAGAAGCGACTCCTACAGACTGTCCTCTGACTTCCACAGGTGTTCCATGAACTAGTGATGCTCCCCTTCCCCAAATAAATAAATAAATAAATAAATGTAATAAAAATAAATACATATAAATTTAGCAGCAAGTTGACCACGGAGCTGGCTCAGAAGCTAAACCCGATGAGCAGGGTTCAATCCCTGAATTCACACGATGGAGGAAAGAACTGACTCCCTTTCTATGTGGGTGTCTAAACATAAAATAATCCAGCAGGTGTAACTAATACTTGCAGTGCGTGAGAAACCTAAGATGACTGATAGGCACAGGCGCAGGGATAGAGCTGGTGTGTGGTGGACACTGACACTCACTGAAGTTTGTTCCCATGCACCATATGCAGGAAGATGTTCATGTGTGTATTTTTGTGTGGAAATGACTGTGTGTGGTGTGTGTGGGGAGGGAGTATGCATCCACTGAGCACACTTGTCCTGTCCTGCTCTGTCACTCTCCACACAGAGTCTCTGGCTGACCCTGGAACTGACCTCACAGTCAGCAACCCCCAGAAATTCTCCAGCCTCTGTCTCCCACAGTGCTGGGGATACCCACAGTCATGCTCAGGTTTTTATGTGGAGAGAAGACATAAGCTCAGGTACTTGAGCTTGCCCAACAAAGGCTCTTACCCACTGGGCCACCTCCTCAGGCCCCTTTTCATTTTGAAACATTAAAGTTTATTAATTTCTGTTTTAAAAACAAATTATCTGGGCTGTGTGAATCGCTTAGTGGTACAACACCAAGTCAGCAATGTGCAAGGCCCTGGGTTCAATCCCCAGCACCGTGAAAACAACCACCCCTGAGCCCCAATTCCCGAAGCCTATCAAGTTCCAGTGTGAGAGACCTACCACAGACTCCATATCGTGAAGCGTTATCAGTTTCTGAAGCATCATCTTGTAAAAGGGGCGGATGAAAAAGCCTTGTAAGAAACAGAATATGTTAAGATGCTTATCAATTAAAAACAAAACAAAACCCCACATTAAAGAAGTTTGCTACTTGATGCTAACCATCCAGCAGCTTGCCATGATAAACTGCCATCCCAGCCACACGACCGATGAACTTGAAGTACGAGAGGTGATCTTCGTTACACAGGCCCGAGTTTGGATTTATCTGGAGGGTGTAATTATCCCTGTAAAGACAAGCCACATTTATGTGATCCTCTCGATATTTCAATAGAAAAATTTACTTAGGCAAGTGATTAAGAGAATTTCCCTTTTTGTTATTTTTTTCTCTACTAAAACCAATGGGTCTGATAATGGTCTTACAAAAAAAAAACTCCATTTCTGTCAAAAGATGAATAACCCCAAAGTACAGGTAAAGGAATAGGCAAAACCTATATATTTTTATGTTCAAAAGACAAAGAGAAAACCCTGACACTTGGTGTAACATGTCTGGACAGAAGATTGGCTGTTGTACAACAAATTCCTCTGAATTAAATTCAAATACTCCCTCCTGGAGGGAGGGTGGGGCTCCTAAGACTCAGGAAGTGGGGCTGGAGAGATCGTTAAGTGCTGAAGAGCACAGAGGCCAGGGGTTGAATTTCTAGAATCCACACAGCAGCTCACAACTTATAACTCCAGTTCCATGAAGCTGATGCCCTCTTCTGGCCTGTGAGGGTACTGCATGCATGTGGTGCATAGGCATACATGTAGACAAACACCTATACACATTAAATGAAATAAAAAAACCAAAGACCCAGGATGTTATCAGTTATCAAAATTTGCAAGATCCACAAAGCCCTCTCCTGGGTTAGGTAAAGCAGCAATAACTGTGGGGAGAAGAATGCTGACCAACTGAGCTACCTGAAGTCATGCATTGTGGGCCCTCACCCACGCTAGGGTGGGCTTCTCTGTTGCCCAGCTGCCTGAGTCATCCCTGATGCTGGAAGAATCCCTCACCCGTCTTCTGAAAGTAATCCAAATAATTCACTGGTTTGCCAACCCGGGCTTTGGTTGAATCCTAACTTGGTCTGTTCTCGGCTCCCTATCTGGGGCGAATAGAGGTTTGTTCATGTTTCCCAAGGAAATGTCACTTGACATATACATATACAGTAATAACATATACTGAGGCCAAATGTTGTATGCTTCCGTTCATCTAATGTAACTAGAGTAGAGAGATTCACAGGGAATCTGCTGATGGTGTTTAATGGATGTAGACTTATTTCAGGAGAATGGAAAGGTACAGAGTTCCATGATGCAGAATGGACTTGAAATGCCAGCCAAGTGTGTGCTTACAGAGGGCTTGGGTGGGAGCTCTGTGGAGGCAGGCCTGCCGATCATGAGCAATCCAAGTGCACACAAACACAGTTAAAACAGGCACCTCTGACCGGTTAGTCTCCCTGTGACACCAAACACATGCTATCTAACATCAACCCAACTTTGAAGACTGACTTCCCTCCCCTTCTATACATGATCATTTAAAGTGCTTATACCGGTGCGGTGGCACATGGCTATAGTCTTAGCTAATCAGGAGGCTGAGACAGGAGGACTGCTTAAGCCCAGGAATTCAAGGTCAGCCTGGGAAAACTGTGAGTCCTGGTAAGAAGGAAGGAACTTACGTAGCAGAATATTCAAAGAGCCCATAATAAGGGTTAAACATTTCCTTTGAAATGAGGAAGAACCATTCCCGAGCAACTCCTCCATAATCAAGTCCCTTTTCACCATCGAACTCAATCCAGAGTCGAGCCTTGAGGAAGTCGGCTTTCTTCACACCCATAATTCTCCGGTAAGAGTCCTCCAGAACATTTGCGCGGCGAAGCTTCATTTCAAATTTGTTTGGAATGTCATTCTGCTGAGCCAGGGGGAGAGACACGGTTTAAACCAGTCCATCGTGTTTCCCACACTCCACTCTGTACCACAGCCCTCTTCCTTTTAAGCAAAACCATCAGGAAAAACCCACGGGTGCACTGACCTTTCTTCCCCCAGCCCCTCAAGAATCAGGGTCCATTCTTGTGACCTAGGTTAGCCATGCACTTGCTATATATACAGCTCAGGCTCGCCTAGAACTCAAGATCTTCTTGCCTCAGCAACCCCTTCTCCCTTACAGGTATATGTTCCCGCATCTACCCTGGATGTACGGTCTTAACATTTTTCTACAATGGCAGAACGTAGGCTTTTTGCTCCTACTCACTTCTGATTATACCTAAAGGAGCTAAACTGGTGAGAATAAACCCGAGAAGGCATTTTGCCAGTAAAGAGCTCCATGTTGTTACAGGTTAGGTCGGTCTGCAATCAAAGCTCCACCTACTGCGGGCCACCTGCCTACTGCTAGCTACTCACTACCTGTCTGTCCTTACTCCCATCCCAGGCACTGCTGTCTACATTTGATGGGATCATTCATCCATGCTTCGTAACAACACCACAATAAGCCACCATCTCTGTTTTAACATGAGAAACTATAGACAAAAGAAACTGAAAAGGTCTGACTTCCCAGCCTCAGCTCTTAATGTAGGACACGTGGCTCCCTCATCTCTTATACACCTGTGCTTCGGAGACAAATGCAGGTAACTGTCTCAGATCCCACTGTAAATACTATAATGTATCCGAGTGTTTCATCCCAGCTGTGTACAACCACCAAGTGGGTACTGTTGGAAGAGAGGTTCTGCTTCTACTGTCAGCTCAAAGACAGACAGACAAGTCTTTGGAGGACACAGGGAAAGCCGAAAGCCCCACAGGAACTTCATAGAAACAGCTCACAGAAGCAGCATAAGCATCCTACCGGTTTCCCCTGCTGCTTGTGCAAGTTCAACAGTGGTAGGATTGGAGAAAAGTGGTTTTTAAAAGACTAATTACCAGGAGGCTGGAGAGAGAGCTCAGCAGTTAAAAGCACTGACACCTTATCCAGAGGATTGGGATTCAATTCCCAACACCCACTAAGGCAGCTCACAACTGTCTGTAACTCCAAGATCTGACACCCTCCCACAGACATACATGTAGACAAACCACCAATGTACATAAAACAAAAAACAACTAATTACTAGGCGGCTGGTGCACGTGGCATGTAAATAAGGGCCCATTATGGGACAGGCGCCATAGTGGAGCCAGGAATGGGAAAAGGGAACTAAAAGTGGCGTGTCAGATGTCCTTCCTCAAGGGCTGTACCGTATAGTGTGGATGGAGGTGTAAATACAGTCAAGTCCTAACTTACAGGACCGCCCAAGAATGATCAGTGGGAGTATGCAAGAGTGAGTTCCAAACACTAGTGATGTATTTATTTATATTTAATTTGGGGTATTGTGTGTAGGTCAGAGGTCAACATTCAATGTCTTCCTCAATTGTTCTTCACCTTCAAGAAAGGGGTTCTCTGTGCAGCTTTGTAGACCAGACTGGCCTGGAACTCACAGAGATTTAACTGTCTCTGCCTCCTGAGTCCTGGGGTTAAAGGTGTGCACCATCACTGCCTGGCTTCATTGATTTTCTTTTGAGACATGTTTCACTATGTAGCCCTGGCCTGGAATTCTCTATGTGGACAAAGCTGGCTTCGAACTCCCAAGTCCTGGGATTATAGGTGTGTACCACCAGGCCCAAGTTTCCATCTTTAAAATTTTTTTGAGAGTTTCTCTGTGCAGCCCTGGCTGTCTTGGAATTCTCTACGTAGACTAAGCTGGCTTTGAATTCAAGAGATCTACCTTCCACTGCCTCCTGAGTGCCCAGAAAGCACTTTAACGACTAGACTATTTACCCATCTCCCTTATTAAATGTTGCAGAGTCAGAATGCCTAAAAGTAGAAAACAATTTTCAGAGTAATTTAGACATAAAGCTATCGTTTAAGGATATCAGAGCTCTGGAGGATTTAAAAGCCCTTTACTTTTAAAAGTTCTATTGGGGAATATAACATTTACACTAAAAAATTAGTATTTTATTTTGTTAAATTTGTGAAAAACTCTGGTATCCAACCCACCATTTTGAATCACTTGAAGTCACCAGCTTGGAGCCCTAGAAAGTACAACCCAACGTTGCCACCTAGTGGCCACACTCCTAAACTGTAGGGAAAGGAGGAAGGGACCAGCACATGAGGAAGGCATTTAAAATGTTAGTTACACCAAAGGATGGGCAAATGAATTTAATTCTGAACATACTTGCAGTTTGATGACGGGAGAAAGTGCAATGAACACATCTGCCGAACATAAGGAAATAAGTAACAATCCTACCATTTGCACTGTCTGCTCACTGTTAATTTTTAAAGTGTGTGGAAACGTGTTGCATTTAAAGCTGTGGAGAATGGATGGCTATTAACACTTAGTGTGGTAAAGGAATCCAGAAATCTCAAGCACAGTCACAGGGCTGGAGATGGCTCAGTGGTTAAAAGGACCCAGGTTCAAACCCACATGGGATCTTGACTACTTTTAATTCCAGGTGCTGAAACCCAGCACCCTCTTCTGGCCTCCACAGGCACCAGATCAGACACATATGTGGTGTATATGCATGAATGTCTGCAAACACACTCACAGAATAAAATGAATCAATCTTTAAAAAATAACCTAAAACTTCTTTAAAACACAACCCCTTTCTCTATGAGATAGTGACCACTCAGCCCTCAAACACAGCAGTGCGTATCTGTAAATGCTCACCATGCCCTGGGCCCCTAGAGAATGGCTGTTAACAGTGTCACTAACCTGCTTCTTCAGCTTTCTTCGGAAGAACTCGTACTTCCTTTTGTAATCCCTGGAGTAGGGCACTGCCTTTAGTTGAAAAATTTGGAAAAACAAAGTTTAGGCTTTATTCTGGAGCAGTGTTACATTATCTCCCCCTGGATATCTTATGAATAAAGAAAGAATTGTTTGGGAATTAATGTTTCATTTGAAGAAAAGCAAACAGAAAACTTAATTTAAAATAAAAAAACTTAAAGATAAAATTGCATTCAGCTGTTACTGTGGCTGCAATTTCTTCATGCATTTTTTAAAAAAGAGTCTCTCCATGTATCCCTGGCCGTCCTTGAACTCTCTACAGGTTGATCTCAACTCAAAGAGATCCACCACGCCCACCTCCCGAGCACTGAGATCAAAGGTGTGCATCGCCACTTCCAGCTCATACAAAATTCTTAAAATGCAACATCCCAAGGGCAAAGTAAGTCTTTCAGGTAGAGAAAATGTAGGAATGAAAATTTCTACTTCTGAAAGGCTTTGAAAGTGCATTCTTCACCGAAGGAACCATTGAAAAATGCATTTTTCCTTGAACTTCCAGGAGTTCCCCTTCTTACTTGTTATTTTAAAAGAGTACATGCTGAGATACTAGCCACTAATCTAAAAATCCTTACATTTAGTTTTTATTAATTTTGTGAATTAACAAAATCTGAAGAAAAAAATGGGAAAAGTAGTTATATATAAAAAAACAAGGATTTTTTTTTTTTTTTTTTTTTTTTTACGAGACAGGGTTTCTCTGTATTGTTTTGGAGGCTGTCGGTCCAGCCCGGCCTCGAACTCACAGAGATCCGCCTGCCTCTGCCTCCCGAGTGCTGGGATTAAAGGTGTGTGCCACCACTGCCCGGCAGAAAACAGGGATTTTTATAGTTAATCTGACTCAAGGGCAGTATAATCATGGTAGAGCACAGTATTTTTACAAAATATGAGTAAGGTTTAAACAGTGGGTCTTTACAAGGCTGACTAAAAATCACTCATCCTGACTCAGGCTGGCCCCTTCTGGTTTGCATTGTTTTTAGATTGGCAGGTGTCGGTCTAGGCCAAGCAGCTTACTGCCCCAGCCTCTGACTGTGTCTCACCGCCCAGGTTTGTGGTGTGCAGTAAAAATGTCTTCACACCATCTTTTCAAAGAAAAGAGTAGGTACAGTGGAGGGCAGGCCAGTGGAGGCTGTTCCTCTCGGTTCCACCCTTGACCTAGAGCAGCTGGACGTGGGAGACTCACTGGTCCAGTTGTTGCCAAGTTCTGAGTGTTCTGAGTGCGCGGGTCTTCCCACTGTGTCTTCTTTGTATCTAAGAGGGAAAAGAAAAGAGATGTTGCTCTTCCTCATGGCCGCCACAGGGTACTACAAAGAACTACAATGGAGAAGTCGTGCAGCACGTACTGTGATTTATATAGAAGACTCTTCCATCTGTGTGGGTTCTTTCTTCCCATCCTGGCTGCAATGAAACATTTGTTGCAATTATTTAAAGCACCAGGCCTTAGATAGACAGGTTATTTAAAAAGAACCCCCAAAACCCAAATAAACAAAAAACCCAACAAATTGGCATTGGCTTAATTTGCATATATCATTTTTAGCAGAAGGTATCAATAGTTTAGTAACAATGTTAATTACAGTTAAATAACTCCTATATTTGAAGGTACAAAGCATCTGAGTTAGTCATCAGCTCAGCAGCAGAACTTACAGGTAAAGGTCCCAGGTCATTATCCACTGGTGTCTTTGCTCTCAGATGAGCAGGGATCTTCGATCTTGGATCGTCCTTTATTTGGTTAAGTCACAAATAAAACAACACACATATTTCAAAATGATAGTCATGAGCTACAGTTGTTCTGTAAAGTTAACGGATATTTAAAATACTCCCTTTGGAGTTGGAGAGACAGCTCAGTTAGGAATGCATTTGTCCTGAAAGAGTTAGGACTGGAGTTTGGATCCCCTAAATCCACGTAAATGCCAGGTTGGCACCATGCCCATTGTAAGTCTTGGATGGAGGAGAGGGGATTCCCATGGCAAGCTGGCTAGACTAGTGGCACAGACAAGCTGTGGGCTTGAGTGACAGAGCTTGCCTTAATGAATTACTAGAAAAACAATGGAGAATGATTTCGGGCATCAACCTCAGGCCTCTACATGGGCGCATGCACGCGCATACACACACACACACACACACACACACACACACACACACACACACACACAGAGACAGCAAGCTCACACATATACACACATACAGCATACATAAAACATGCACACACACATATATATGAAAATGGACCACATCTGGGCTGGTGGCTCAGTGGGCTGAGGTAGCTGCTACCAAGCCTGATAACCTGAGTGCAATACTTGAGACCCACATAGAAGAAAAGAACAGACTTATACAAGTTGCTCTCTGATCTCCACATACATACATACATGTACACATACAGGATAAATAAATGCAAGGGTATAATCAAACAGACAAATGAACAAATAAATAGGGCCATATGTTGTGGTATCTGTTTGGGCATTGATTTACTATATTTTTGAAAAGGAGAAGGGTACGGTAGCCTAACAAGAAAGTAACTAAGATCAACTTACATCTTAAAAGACAACAAAGTTCAATTTATTTGAATTAATTAATGTATTAATTACTTTAATATTATTATATTAGTCAAGTTACTTAGCTTTTTTAGATTTGTTTCAGCTATGTTGACCTTTTAAAATAGTTACTAAGTCTCGAGTGTTGTTTGGAGAACTTTATGTTGGTGATGAGCTAAATACCAAACAACTTTAAGACTTAAACTAAAAATATCAGGACTCTGCAATTAAGAGTGCTGGCTGTTCCTTCAGAGGACCAGGGAGGATTTGACTCTCAGCACCCATGTGGTGGCTCACAAACATCGGTAACTCTAATTCTAGGGGATCTGACACCCTCTTCTGGCCTCCATGGGTGCACAGGCATACATGTAGGCAGTCATACATATAAGATAATGTAAATAAATTCTACAACAGCAATGACAACAAAATATCTGTCCTGCCTAGCTTGGCAGTCTTTCTAATAATATTAATAAATGAAACAGAAACACTGAAAGTGCTTTGAAAATAGAAAAGTTTCATATAAAGGTAAAAAAAGGATTACTAAAATCTTTCTAAGCCTTTATGACTAGTGAGCCAAAAGCTGAAAACAGGAAATAACTGTGAACACCTTCATAAAAATCTAACAATCTCAAAAAGTAAAAATATACTTTGACTACAAATAGTATTAAGACTCCCTGGAGCTTGGGGTGTGGCTCAGCTGGAAAACACTTGCCTAGCAGGCACAAAACCCTGGTTACATTCCCAGCAGAAACAGTGTCTCAAATGTGTGGGACTTGGGCAGTGGAGGCAGGAATATCAGGAGTTTAAGTTCAGGTCCAGTTACACAGCATGTTCTAGGAAAGCCTGGACTATATAAGACCCTGCCTCAAACAACAAGAACAAACCCAACCCACAAAGCAAGACTTTTACATGTAATTCACTGACTATTAGGAAAGGCAGACTGCGCTAACACATGTAATAGATGCAGAAGCAATTGTTGCTATGCATTTAAAGTGAGGAGCACGTAAGTTACCCAGGTAGTGGTCTTGGTGTTGCGGTCAATAAAGAAAGGTCTCCCATTTGGCGCATGCTGGACTTCCCCACCGTTGGGAAGGAATCTTTGCTTAGTGTCAGACGGTGGACTCGCCTGTTGAGCGGGGCCACAGGTAGGGAGCTGTGACTGAAGGCCTGTGGAACTCTGGCTCAATGGTAGCTGACTGGTCTCCGCTGTGGCCTGCCATAATGTAAAACTATAGAGAACTCACAAATACTATAATTAAAATAGCTAGCTTAACCCGTGAAGAGAAGGCACACCTGTAAATCAGCCCTAAACGTTTGAGGCTAACTTTTTTTTTTTGGTTTTTACGAGACATGGTTTCTCTGTATTGTTTTCGAGGCTGTCGGTCCAGCCCGGCCTCGAACTCACAGAGATCCGCTTGCCTCTGCCTCCCGAGTGCTGGGATTAAAGGCGTGCACCACCACCGCCCGGCTTGAGGCTAACTCTTAAAGATTTGTTTTTATTATGTGGAGGTGGTGCATGTGCCTGTATATCGATATGAGTGCAGGGGTCTGTGGAGAGGCTAGAGTTGTCAGGTTCCCTAGCGTTGGAGTTACAGACGATTGTGAGCCCTGATGTGGGTGCTGGAACTGAACTTGAATCCTCTGGAAGAGCAGCAAATGCTCTTAAATCATGGAGCCATCTCTCCAGGCCCAAATCACCAACATTTTAATTTCTTTCCCCTGAATTTAAATAAGTTTTCTATCAAACTTGGTTTTTATAATAATTTAGTCAACTAATTTACAATAATTTAGCTAATTAACACAAAGTAAGTTGACTGTTAACTGCTGAGGGCACATCTGACCCAGGAGCCACAGCTGCCAGCCTATGTAGCAGAGCTGCAAGGCGGGAACAGTACCCAGAGCAGAAAGCTGGCCAGGAAGATGGCTCAGTGCGCAAAGGTGCTTGCTGCCAAGCCTAAGACCTGAGTTTGACTCCCCAGAACTCACATGGCAGGAGAGGACCAACTCCTGTACGTTGTCCTCTGACCCCCCCCCCACCCTGTGGTGTCCACCTTCCTTAAATAATAAATGTAAAAAGAGAAAAAAAATCAATGAAAGAAACAGTGATAAGATAAAATAAACATGTTATCAGTCTGCTACAAGGAAGAGGTCACAGTTATGAACTGCTTTTAAAAATTTATACATTTTATTTTATATGGTGTTTTGCTTGCATGTATGGCTGTGCACCAAGCATATGCAGTGTCCATGGAGGTTGAAAGAAGGCATCAAGTCTTCTAGAACTGGAGTTATGAGTGGTTATGAGTCACCCAGTAGGTGCTGGGCACCCAACCTGGGTCCTCGAAAGAGCAACAAGTGCTCTAAAGCACTGAGTCAATTCTTCAGCCTCATAATTAACTATGTGAACAAGAGCCCAGGGTTGCCTCGGGGATAAAGTGCTTGCCATGGTATGAAGACCAGAGAGAGCTCAGATCCACAGCACACACTAAAAAGCCAGGTGGGTATGGTGACCAGATTATGATGTAGTATTTGAGAGATAGAGACCAGATCCCAGACAAAACTCCACATTCAGCAAAAGAGCCTCACTCAAATAAAATGGGGAACAATTGAGGAAGACACATGGTGTCACCTTTAGGCCTCCACATGTGTGTGCATGCTCAAATGAATGATCTCTCTCTCTCTTCTCTCTCTCTCTCTCTCTCTCTCTCTCTCTCTCTCTCTCTCTCTCTCTCTCTCTCTCTCTCACACACACACACACACACACACACACACACAGAGTAGAAGGGTGCAGCGCGAGCTTGACATGGAAGCTGTAAGACAAGCTAAGAGTGCAGAGTACCTGCATGGTGGGCTTGGCCCATGTGGTTGTTCTAGAATTGTGGTCTACGTAGTATGACCGTCCTCTTTCATCTTGTTTTTCTTCCCAACCTGGTGGCAATCCAGATGAAGTAGGCAACAGCTAATGTGTAACAAAAAAAACTCCATGTTAACTGGGAGAGCTCCTGGCTTTTCCCCACTGCCAGAGCTTGGAAATGATTCTTATTTTATTCTGAACTAAAACCATTTTAAATTTAGAACTATGGAACTCATTTTAAATAATATTAAAAAAAAACAGCAATTCACTTGGGAAGAAAAGAAAAGAATGAAAATTATAAAACATGTCAACACTAGAAACCATATACTTAGGGAGACATACACAGGCACAGGCACACACATACAAACTGATGAGATTATTGCTAACACTGGCCTACTTTACGTATGGTAAATTGAGACTTTGGAAAGGAAATGACTCCTAGGCCAGCACTTCTAAGAAAAGCAGTTGAGCTCTGAACCGAAGCACACTAACTCCAGAAACCACATTAAGTGGAGGGAGGCAGAGGCAGGGGTTCTCTGTGAGTCTGAGGCTAGCCTGATATATCAAGTGAGTTCCAGGCCAGCCAGTGATATCGTCTCTGCTTATACATGCTCTGGTCTAATAGAGGAGGTCAGATAAGACAGGATGTGGATCCCTAAACAACATAACAGGGACATGCCCAGTGGCTTCTGTAATCTGTCGCCATGTTGACCAGACCCGTGGGTTTCAGAGTCAGTTGAGCCCTTATCCTCAGCACAGGATGGAAGGGATCTGTTGTAGGACAATCTTTCTGTACACTATAAAGATGTGTTTCTGCCTAAGGTGCCTTTTGATTGGTTTAATGAGTTGAATGGCCAATAGCTAGGCAGGAGAGAAGAACTTGGAAAGATCCTAGGCACACCGGCGATATCAGTAGGACATACCAAATAGAAGAGGTAAAAGCCATGTGGCAGAATGGAGATAAATAGAAATGTGTTAATTTAAGCTTTAAGAGCTAGTTGGAAAAGAGCCTAAGCTAAAAGTCAAGCTTTTATAATTACAATGAGTCTCAGTTGTCATTTGCAGGCTGGCAGTTCCAAAGGAAAGTCTGACTACAGGAATCCTTTTCAGTAAGGAACCATCTTTTTAAGACAGATAAACCACTTCTAAACTGATGATTCCAGAGCCTCAGCATCTCCATGCTGTAATCCCATGAACGCACAAACCTCATTCTCATAACTGATACATGGACCATCATTCAAAGGTGCAATGATTGGTGGTAAAGTGAGGATGTATTCTCAAGGGAAGTGGAATGTGCACAGATGAGAGGGAATTAGGATTGTGAGGACAGCCAGGTGTTTGGAAGAAGGCAGTAGGTACCAGGCAATGGGAAGGGAGGGCCGAAAAGGCCTGAGTTTAGTTCTATCTGAAAAAGCAAGTGGGGCTGGGTATATAGCTTAGTTGGAAGAGTGCTTGTGTAGCAAGCATGAAGCCATATGTAAATCAGGCATGGTGGCATATGCCTGTTAATTCTAGCACTTGGGAGATGGAGGCAGGAGGATCGGGCACTCAAGGCAGGCCCGGGACACATGAGATCCTGTAACAAACAAAACAAAACGTGACTAACAAGGCAGTGAGAACTTGGCATAATGAGAGGGGATTCAGAAAGACGGCAGAGGAGGGAGGATCACTGTCAAATGACAGGAGTGGATCTCTGCTGACTGGTGGACTGAGACCAGTGGGAAGAGAGGAGCAGGAGATGAAAACTCCAAGATGGCTACTGGCACACACATCGGATTGAGAGACGGTGATCCCTCACTAGCCAACGCACACAGAGCAGATCTGGCTGCTGGGTGCCAGGTCCTGCCCACCACTATCAGTTCTCTGAGGGCTGACTTCCGAGGTTGTACCCCATGTCTCCTCAGCCCCCTGCTGGGCGGCCACTCACACTCAGGGTTGTGATATGCAATAGTTTAAAAATGGCTGAGTTTTCTGTCTTCCATTCTTGTCTGAGGGGAGAGGAGAGAACTTACCACAGGAAGTGCAGGCTGTTCCTCAAAGATACAGGCTTGCAAGCTGCCACTTCTGCCGGAATGATTCTTGTGGGGAAGAAACAACACTTTTAGGTCTTCCCTCAGAGCACAGACAAGGAAGTAAGGGGGAGGGTGAAGGAGCAGGAGAGAACATGCTGGGGAGGGCAAAGACTCACAGGGAGAAGCCTTCTCTCTCCCTCCACCCCAAAAGGGCCAGTTCTGTGTCCTTTCTCCCAGGCCTCTGCTGTCCACACCGGACTTGATTTCCCGGGTACACCTGAGCTAACTCATTCCTTCACTCACTCAGTCTTCCCACCTGGTGCTCAGCACGTTCACCTTCCCTGATGGCTAAAGTATGGCTCTTGTTGTCCCTAAACCTAATTCTCACCATTTGTCACCCTAACCACCCCAGCAGTGACAAGGGCTTCCTGACGCAGCCAGAGGGCTTGATGGAGTCCCCTGGTTCTCTGGCTGAAGCCTTCAACAGAGTGTCAGCTACCACTCGGATGTACAGCACCAAACAGGGCTTCCGCCCCGGGCCCCACCCCTTCCTCATCTCTAGTCACTTCAGACCTCCCAGCCCACCACTGGGCATTCCACGCCAATGACTTATTTCCTGGAAATCCCATATTCTCTCTTCCCCTTTCCCTTGATATATAAGCTCTTACCACTAACTGAAATATCTTATTTTTGTTATTAAATGTCATCAAAACTTATAAACACACATGCATGAAACCAGAATATCACAAATTATATTGTTTACGGTAACAGATGGTTAAACAATCTAAGTTCATCACAACAGGAAAACGGCGGATACTTTCAGGACAACTTATACAAGAGCCATGCTACAACTTTAGATTGTTTTTGGTGACTTTAAAAGAGGTACATTGATAGCCATGGAAACAGTCCAATTAGCAAGTGAAAAAAAGTTACCCAAAGGCCTACATAAGATAATTTCAAAGGGATGAGGGCGTGGCTCAGAGTAGGGCACAAGCTCTGTATGCATAAGGCTGAGTTTGATTCTCATACCCATAGCAACCAATCCCCAACGCAGAACAGAAACACACATACAAATAAACCATGCACAATTGTTATACGGGCTTGAGAGATGGCTCAGCAGTTAAGAGTGCTTGCTGCTCTTCCAGAGGACCAGATTTTGGAATTCAGCACCCATCAAGTGGCTCACAACTACCTGTAACTCCAGCTTCAAAGGATCTGATGCTGTCTCTCGCCTTCATCGGTACGACACTCAGGTGCACAAACCCGTATACAGACACATCATTAAAAACAGATCTTCTATAAAAATTTTAAAAGTATACATGTATGTTTATGAATGTATAGAAAACGTTTAAGACACCATGTCCCAAGCCATTAATGGTCACTGAGGGGACATAATTACTAGTTAAGAAAGAAGAACCATTTATTGTTCTGTAGATCTCAATACTGTCTCACTGGTGACACTTGTATATGGCCTAAGCGTGATGACTGTATGTATGCCAGCACACCTGGTTTTTATTTCACGTGGGTTCTGAGCATCGTAGTCAGGGACTCATGTGTGCACGGCAAACACCGTACTGAGTCATCTCACCATTCCTATTCTGTGAATCTGACGAATCCTTTCCCCAGCCCCCAGAACGAACAGGCAGGTGGAAAGGGGAAAGCGGCAGGTGAACTGATGGACAGTGCATTCAACTGTGTAGTAAGCTTCTTGAAGGTGCTCCAAGATTGCAACCCCTGCCCACCAAGGTCCAACACCGAATGCTAGTTCTTCTAACTGCTCAACTCTGAGATACGGTGCGAACGTGGTTACGGACAAGTAGCAATGGCTGGATTCCAATGACACCTTATTTATGGCAACAGGCAGCTGGAGATTTGGCCCGCAGGGTGCAGCGATGACCCCTGTACTAGAATGGAAGTCTTGTAAAAGAAAGGGGTTCTGTTTGCCTCATTACAGATGAACTCCCAGTGGAGTGATCAGTTATGGTGCCCTGAACCTGCTTCATGATATAGATATAAAAAGTCAGCCAGAGTTTCTCACAGGGGTGGTATATGCTAGGATGCTTTCTTCTGGATTCTGCAGACAGTAAGTGAAACCATCACCTCTCATTTAATCCACAAGGCTCTTATTTACATGTGTGGACTAGTGACATTTGTGATGTAATGTTAAAACCTCATGGAGGGGATGGAGAGGCTGCTCAGTGGCTTATAGCTCCTTTTGCTCGTCCAAAGGACCTGAACTCAGTTCTCAGCGTCCACACGGTATTTCACAACTTTCTGTAACTCTAGTTCTTGGGGATCTGTTACTCACTTCCGGCCTCTGAGGAGACCAGGCAAGCGTGTGGTACACATACAATGCAGTCAAAACACTCACACACATAAAGATGAGTTAGAACAAAACAAAACCCTCGTATAATCAAGAGAGAGAAGCAGTCTCTTGCTGAAATGTGCAAGGAACTCAGCTTGTGGTTTTGCTGATTCCGGTGGGACCCTGAGACTACAGCGGCCATTAGGATTATCCATCATTACATGCTATTTAAACAAAGGTTTGCATAAAACATAGCTGCTGAATCGTATTTATATGAAATCACAAAGCCATGAAAAAAGTCTAAGACATCTTACTGAGCTGGTGACTGGCTGGCCGGTGGCTGGATTTCCATACATAGTGAGTCTGGTATCTAACTCTTCTGCAAGGCGAACCTGCACGTCTACTTGACCTGCTGGAGGCGACTGGATGGCCTGACCGCTATACACAGCGTTGTCATCATCTCGTACAATTTCCCAGTTCTAAAAAGAACAGAACCCACTTCAGCCACACATACACTCATCCACTGCTTAATACGTGCTGGAAACAGGAACAAGAGAAGGGTTCGTACCTCAGGGGACTCTCGGTTGTCAGCACTATCCACATCCTCGGATATCTGCCGCCTGGTGGTAAATGCCCGCTGCGCCTGCAGCTGGATATTACCGTTCTCAGCATCTGAGAGGTCATCCCTAGGGTGGAAGTGTAAAAAGGTATCATTCCTGTCATGTCACAGTTAGAATCACAACCAAAGACTGCAATTAATCAATACTTGGACTGAAAATGTATTGGTTTTGTTCAAAAGCTGTATCAATATGCTGATCATACTGTCAGCATATTGGTACCTGGTCTAGGGGACTGGGGAAGGGGGAGAGAAAGTACCTTGGAAGTGGAAAATCTCATGCAAATGTGTAACTAACAGCTGATATGTACTTCATCACTGTGCCTAGGACAGTGTCCTAGTTTGCTTCTTGTTGCTGTGACCAAAACAACTCAGGGAGGAAAGGGTTTATTTTATTTAATGGGTTCCAGTCATCATCAAGGAAGTCAGGGCAGGAACTCAAGGCCAGAACGTGGAGGTAGGATCAGAAGCAGAAGCCATGGAGGGTGCTGCTTACTGGCTTGCTTCCCCACTGCTTGCTCAACCTGCTTTCTCACACAACCCAGGACCACCTGCTGCTCTGGGGTGGCTCTGCCCACATCAATCAATCCAGAAAGTGCCTGAGACATGCTCACAGGCATATCTGACGGAGACAATGTCTCATGTGAGGTTCCCTCTTCCCAGCTGACTCCAGCAGGCCTCAGGGTGACAAAACTGACCCAAGCAAATCACATCTGACATAAAAGAGCTTTATAACTCATTTACTTTACCACATTAGCATGAGATTAAAACCCAAGGCAGCGCTGTTATATTCCACCTCCGTGAATCGAATAACTGATAGAATTGGTCTTATTAACAAGGAGCTGCCGGGTGGTGGTGGTGCACACCTTTAATCCCAGCACTTGGGAGGCAGAGTCAGGCAGATCTCTGTGAGTTCGAGGCCAGCCTGGTCTACAGAGTGAGTTCCAGGATAGGCTCCAAAACAATAGAGAAACCCTGTCTCGAAAATACAAAATCAAAACAAAACAAAAAAATTCACTAAGGAAACAAGAACTAGAATATACCAAAGGTCATTACATCCTTGCTCTTTTCATGTGGGAAGATTTGTGTCCACTGTCCAAACTGGAGACGGGTCTTTAATATAAGACCCTTATTAGTAGTAGCTCCTCTATGATTTAAGAACAATTTATATTTTAAAAAATGAAGTGCTGCGGTTGTAGTTCAATGGCAGAATGCTTGCTTAGCATGAATGAGATACTTGTTCAATCTCTAGCAACACAAAAACATTGCAGAAAATACAAATTTTATATTTTAACAGACCACCACAAAATTTTCTGATATGTGCATGTATTTGTTGCACGGACACACATGCAGCCATACACATAATATACATAACCCCAGGCTGGTTCTTAGCCTTGCTGTAGTTAAGAATCATCCTGCCAAGCCAGGTGTTGGTGGCACACGCCTTTAATCCCAGCACTTGGGAGGCAGAGGCAGGCGGGTCTCTGTGAGTTTCGAGGCCAGCCTGGTCTACCAAGCAAGTTCCAGGATAGGCTCCAAAGCAATACAGAGAAACCCTGTCTCGAAAAACCAAAACAAACAAAAAACAAAAAACAGAAACCTCCTGCCTCCACCTCCTAAGTACTGGAGTACAGGTGTGCATCATCATATCACATTTTATGTGGTACTGGGGACAGAACTCAGGGCCTCCTGTATGGCAGGCAATTACTTCACCAACTGAGCCACAGCTGCACCCTTGAGTCTTTTTTTGTTTATGTATAAGTATGAGCATGGCATGGTACACAGAAGACAGCTTTTGAGATTTGGTTCCCTCTTTCCATTATGCAGGACCTGGGTATCAAACTTGGGTTGTCAGGCTTGGTGGCAAGTGCCCTTCATACACGAAGCCATCTTGTTGGCTTCAAATAATTTTAAATATTATCAAATCACTAAAAAAAAAAACCTCAGCCGAGATAGCAGTTATCACTGACAATTATCTTACAGTTTAAGGATGTCTGTGCCACTATGAACCTACTGGAAACAAGGCATCGACATGCAAAGCAGTGGAAAATATATCCAGATTGGCACATACTCAGGGCTTGGTCTTTTCCACTGTGTTCGTCTAGAATCATGGTTCACATAGTAGGTCCTTCCAAGGACATCCTGTCTCTCTTCCCATCCTGGAGGTAGGGGAGAGGGTTCTGGAGGATGCTGCAAATGGGTAGCAGCATCTGGTTGGTCCAAAACAACCCAGCCAGGCTGAAAAATAGAATGGAAGCAATTAAGTTATGCTCGACATTTTTTAAAACTTTATAAGTTATAAATAAAGGAAATTAAGAAGAATTTCACATGTTCAATTCCAGAAATTATATATAAACAGAATTAATACATGATCAACTCTTGAAGCCAGGATGTGAATGTTTTATAGCCAAGACTTTCCCACAAAATGATAAGCATTTAAATTTTGTTTGAGAATGTTTTCAAATTATTCAAAAGGCTTAAAATTCAAAACAGAAATGAAAAGGACAAAACAACAACAAACTATCACCCCCCACGCCCGCCGAAAATGAACCAACAAGAAAAAAACCACCCCAATCTCTTTAAATAACTGAACAAAGGTGGTGATGTTAGAAGGTACGGAGGAAGTGAGAAAAAGGCAGGGAAGGGGTCTCGGTGGTCACCGTCTCTCCCCACAGGGAAAGTGCATTGCTTATGGTGGAAATCAGCCAACACCAGAGACATGAAAAGAGCTGTCAGCTGAGGTCAAATCCTGAGAGGCCCAACACAGACAGGAGAGTACTGAGAAACACTCACTACACAAGGGTGTGTGGTGATGGATACATCACTCTGATACTCATGTCTGCATTTTCTATTTCTCCCCTGGACCCAGGATAGGCATTGTGGTCAGGTCATAAAACAGTCAAACAAAGGATTAAAAAAGAAATGCACAGGGAGTTGGTTCTTTTAAGACTATAAAAAGAGACACAATGTACTTAACGAAAGGAATTAAGTGAAAAAGGTACTAGATATTAATGACATGCTTTTGTATTAAAAAACCTGGTAACAGAGCCTGAAGAGACTGCTCAGTGATTAAGCACATACTGTTCTTGCAGAGGGCATGAATTTGGTTCCCAGAGTCCCCATCAGGTGGCTTACAACTGCCTGTAACTCAAGTTCTAGGGGATGCCATACCTTGAGGCTCTGTAGGTATGTATACTCAAGTACTTATACATACACTCTGACACACACCTAATAATAAAAATAAAATAAAAAATCTCTTGCTAAGAGGTGGTGGTGGTGCACACTTTTAATCCCAGCACTCAGGAGGTAGAGGCAGGAGGATCTCCGTGAGTTCAAGACAAGCCTGGTCTACAGAGTGAGTTTCAGGATAGCCAGGGTTTCACAGAGAAACCCTGTCTCGAAAGAAAAGGAAAGAGGAGAGCTGGAGCATGTAGCTCAAGTAATAAAGTGTGTGCCTATCATACACAAAGCTCTGGGTTCCACCCCCAACACCACATACATCAGACATGATGGAACACCTCCTCAGGACAAATTTGTCAAAATTCTGATAAAAATATTATATGTTATAGAAATATGTTTATAAAAATATGTTTAAGAAGAATGAGAACCACTTCTCAAGTTCAAATAGAAATACAAACAAGATATAATCAATTTATCTTCTAAGGAAGAAGAGAGGTGTGGAGATGAATCAGTAAGAGAAAACACTGTAGACTGAGCAGGGTGGTACAGACAGCCCAGAATAACAGACTAGGACACCCAGAAAGAACGAAGCTCAGAGGGTTTCAGCATATGATAAACAAATTTTCAGTATGTAGAAAAATAGGAAGATTATTTAGACAATGGGCACTTGGGAAAAATTAATTTGGATCCAAACTGTATACCAATATATGCTACAGACTAATATTCAAATGTTAAAAAAAAGCAAACGCAGCAGGGTGGTGGTGGCGCACTCCTTTAATTCCAGTACTGGGGAGGCAGAGGCAGAGACAGGCAGATCTCTGTGAGTTTGAAGCCAGCCTGATCTACAAAGCTACACAGAGAAACCCTGTCTTGGAAAAACCAAACCAAAAAACCAAAATCAAAGAGTATTTGAACAAATTTGGATAAATGTAAAGCAACATATTCTAAGCACAGGAAAATGTTTAAATAAATTTAAAGCAACATATTCAAAGCACAGCAAACTCAGAAAGTACAAGGGAAGAATTATATACCTGACTTGAAAACCACAAACATATGTGCCCAGCCTCTGCTAAATCAAAGCAAAGATGATTCCCTGGAAAGGCTTTGGTACCATGGCAGATAAAAGTAATTTAACATATACTGGGCTTCTATTCTGGGCAATGCGGGCTGGGAAGGAACTGCTGCACTGTTGGAAGGCTGTGCCCGACAACGGGGGGGCCGAGAAAAGATGTAGGAGGAAGGGGATGTGGAAGAAGAAGGGATGAGGGGCAGGGAGAGGCTCTACACAGGAGAGTTACTTGGTGGGGGTTCTACCCGGAAAGCTAAACCCCTTTCTAACTTATTCCTATCGATTTTCCTTTTACTTCTATGGGAGTCAATGCCACATTTTTCCCTGTTGCTCAAATTCCATTCTCCTCTTTGAAAACGTATATTCTCTCTTAAAGATCTGCTTTCATGTTGTCCATGTAAATTCAATAAGAAAAGTGAAAAATGTAACTTAATTTAGGGCTTTAAAAGATTAAATGGTTTCAAGTTTGAGAAACTACAGTTGTACCCCAAATACTACTGGAGAGACAATGTTTTCAGTCTTTGGGTAGAATTCCTCTAAGAAATATGGGTTATCTATTTTTCTCATAAAATAATTTTCTACGAGTCAAGGAATCCTAATTACTAGTCTTAAAGCCAATATGCAAATACCTACAATTTCGCAGAGTCAGAGGCGCCAGAAAGCAAGTACAAAGTGCTTAGACAAACATTTTACCCTAATCTTGTAAAATCCATACAGCTTGCCCTACGGCACAGAGAGCACAGAAGGAAATGTTATATAACTGCTATCCAGAGCCACACGATATTCAGAAATGCAAGCTGCCCAGAGTGCGTCTCCCTCCAAAATCACAATTGTTTTCTTCAAATAGCAGAATTTTAAATATTTACTTACAAACTTGATGTCAAAGAACCAGGCAAGACTTTTCTGGTCTTTGGCTACCCAGAAAGATAAATAAGCACATTTGTGTGTCTGAATTCCTTGGCCTTTTTGTAAATAAACGACACGCTTACATCTCCTGAAATTATAAGGTGGACTCTGAAGGAATTCAAACATTGCAATGGGAGGCCACAGCATGAAGCAAAGCCAGTCTACACCACAGAAGCGAACCATGAATGAGGTGCCTGTGATCCATGTGCAGGCAAACCCTGGAGCAAGATCCTACGGAATGAAATGCTGTTCAATATTTCAAGTCTCTAGGAAAGTCTTCATTTCAAACAGAACTCAACAATGTAAGATACCCTCTGTACTACAATGCAGACATTTACTTACCCACCCCCATCTCTTGGAAGCTTAAACTTTGGGACAGTGAGATAGCTCCAGAGGTAAAGGTGTTAGCTGTCAAGCTTTATGACCTGTTCAGTCCCTGAGACCTTCATGGGGGGAGGTAGGAGAGTGACCTTCTGCAAGCTGTCCTCTGACTTCTACTAGAGTACCATGGAAGACACACCCACCCACCAGCCCCCCTCCTCCACACAGGGAAGGAGGAGGCAGGGAGAGAGGGAAGAAAGGAAAATGAATGAATGAATATGAACAGGGGATGGAGAGATGGCTCAGCAGGTAAGAGCACTGGCTGCTCTTGCACAGGATGTTGGTTCAATCCCCAGCATCCACATGGCAGCTCATAGTTATCTGTAACTCTAGTCCCAAGGGATCTAAAACACAACCTCTGACTTCATGAGCACAAGGCACATACATAGAGCGTGGACATACAAGCAAAGTTACATCCACACACATATCTGAAAAATTATTATAAGGGAAAAAATGAGACAGATTTGCTTCTATTTTTTCACACACTCCCCCACAAAGCAAAATCTCATTAACACATTAAATAAGTACCAAAAGCTTTGCTAATTCATAATTCACTTCCTGCTCTAGAATGTTCTTTATCAAGGCATCCAGGCACATAAGCTAGAGCCCAGACCTCGGGGGGGGTCTTGGTTTCATAGATCTTGTGGGGATCAGAGCAGACCTTCAGCGGAAGAGAGACAAGCCTGGTGAAGAAAACACATGCAACAAAGAATCTTCCAGCACAGTCAGCAACATACATACACCGTGTGTGGTTGAATAAACTCTGCCTCTGAGGGACCCAGGAAGGAGGTGCTTTGTCTTTTCAACTTAGGGAAGAAGCCCTAAGGGTGACCCGGTGCCGGCCACAGCTTGCCCCTGGGGCTCAGCTGTCCACACCCACTCCACCCTGATACTCAATTCCTCCACAGACCCAGTTCATGGAGCTCGGTCCAGGCACCCGGCTTGGACTTCCTGTTATTCCTGTCATCCATGAAAATCATGAACTTATACTTATTTCAAGTAAACACAACAAGAATTACATATCCCAAAAGTTTCTTTTGTAATAATGTAATTATTATATAATAATATATTATGGTAACTTTATAAAGTAAGATGTCTATATACTTAGCTTTACAAATACTACATCATTTTCTTATTCTGAAGGAGACTAGGGTGTGGTTTTGAAAAACTGAAGAGTCAATGATGTAATTATAATAAACACATTGGTAACTACTGCATCTCCTATTTTCTAGAAGTCTACCAACAGCAACCACTCTACAGAAATGCCTTCACAGGAAAGAACCACGTAAGGAGGATTTGGTCAAATCAACATCTCAGTGATTTTTATTACATGTTAGCTTCTCTGAACAACAGTATTGTTCTACAAAGGGTGTAGAACGACAGCAGCCAGCTCCTTTGCGGTGTAAGCAAATATCTCGGGGAATCTCACCTCTAATTCCTCAGCCTGGTCTGCATTCTCATCGTCCGAGCCAGTGGATTTAGGTAAGTAAGTCATTTTTAATCTCAGATAACCTTTAACTCTGGATTTGTGACTGTGGAAAAGAAAACAATTATTCACAAAATTGAACACCAAGTAGAAAGTATCCATTCATTTGATGAGTTTACAGAACACCTTGCTGACTCTGAGGGGTCCTACTGGGGGCTCAAGGTCAAGTTTCTGTGAAGATAGAGGACATTCATCAGAGGAAACAGGGGTGGAAGGAGGCCATCACACTACAGGTAAGGTACTTGGGATGGTTAAGGAAAGGGTCAGAGAAAACCCAGGCTCTTCAGTTGGGCTCCAAGCCGAGGGGGCAGGGTGGTGGTGGCTACGGTGGTGGTGGGGTGGGGATGGGATGATATGGTGTAATCAGAAACCCAAGAGGCTGTAGTGTCTGCAGCAAAGTCAATGCAGATACGAGATGTAATTTCTTTGTTCTTTTCTTTCTTTCTTTTCTTTTTTTTTTTTTAAAGAACAGGATACTACACAGAGTTTTCAGCAACTGAAGGGCCGGCAGGGCAAGCGAATAAGAGGGAAAATATTTGCTTAGCTATTCTTGGTATGCACACATTGCAATCAGTCCAAAATTAAAGGAAGAAAAGAGATTCAACTTCTAGACTTTTACAGCAATTAAACACAGGACTCTCCTCTAAACAGTAACAGCCACAAAGCATGGGCTCCTTTATTTTTAGTATTTATATTATAACGAATAGGTTAAGGCAATCATTTTGACTGAAAACAAAATTAAGTGCCCGTAATATACTGTTCAAATGCACTGCTTAGTTTAAAAAAACTAAAGTAAATGCTATGGCTTTCCCAGATGTCTGTTTCTCTTGGTCTGTTACTTGGACTCATAATGGTAAATCACACATTCTAAATCGACTTTACTTGGACTTTGTGGCACAAATGACCAAAAGGAGTTTCATTTACAACCTAAAATTTAAATTTTGAGGAACCCAAGTGATGGCTCAGTGGGTAAAAGCACTTTCTGTTCTTACAGAGAACCTGGGTTTGATTCCCAGAACCCACATGGCAGCTCAAATCTGTCTGGAGACTCACTCTCACTCTCTCTCTCTCTCTCTCTCTCTCTCTCTCTCTCTCTCTCTCTCTCTCTCTCTCTCTCTCTCTCTCTCTCTCTCTCTCTCTCAGGTAAAACACTCATACACATAAAATAAAATCATAAAAAAGTCTCTTAAAAATATTGCACTTAGGGGGCTGGAGAGATGGCTCAGAGGTTAAGAGCACTGACTGCTCTTCCAGAGGTTCTGAGTTCAATTCCCAGCAACCACATGGTGGCTCACAACCATCCATAATGAGATCTGGCGCCCTCTCCTGGCGTGCAGACATACATGGAGGCAGGATGTTGTATTCATAATAGAATAAATAAAATCTTTAAAAAAAATATTGCACTTAGGGCTGGAGAGATGGCTCAGAGGTTGAGAGCACTGACTGCTCTTCCAGAGGTTCTGAGTTCAATTCCCAGCAACCACATGGTGGCTCACAACCACCCATAATGAGATCTGGTGCCCTCTTCTGGCGTGCAGACATACATGCAGGCAGAATGTTGAATTCATAATAAATATATAAATCTTTAAAAAAAATATTAGCTAGCCTTTATTCACAGCACTTGAGAGGCAGAGGCAGGCGGATCTTTGTGAATTAAGGCCAGCCTGGTCTACAAGAGCTAGTTCTAGGACAGCTAGGTCTACAGAGAGAATTCCAGGGTAGGCTCCAAAGCTACACAAAGAAATCCTGTCTCAAAAAACAAAAACAAAAACAAAAAAAAAACAAAACAAAACCCAAAAAGATTAAACTTCTACTTTGAAAAAACCAAAAAAGCAACCATATAAACCATGTAACTTAGTTCAGGAAAATGGAATTACAAGAATGCTATTTGGGTTTTAAATTTACTCTGTTCAAGCTATTTTCTCTGAATATGTGCTTTCTAAAATATTTTTAAATTAAAATTTTTATTTGCAATGTAAACCAAGTACTTTACATTTTTAAAGATTTCTATACATGTGAATCTGTGTGTTTTGTATGTGTGTCCACGAACACCAGATCCCCTGAGGCTGCCACTCAGTATGAGCGCTGGGCCCACTTTTAATCACTGGGCATTTATTCAGGCCACCTCAGTGTATTTTAACACCTAAAGTAACTAAAGCTTTTAAAAGAAAAATACAATATTTATGAATTGCTTATTTATAGGGCATTAAATCCTGGATTTTCAAAAAGGAGGGCAAAGGTTTAAGGAAGACACAAAAAAATTTAATATGTGTAGTTGGATCTATGGCTAAATGGTTCAGTTCCTATCAGCCACATGGCAGCTCACAATAGTCTGTAGTTCCAGTCCCAAGGGATTCAACATCCTCTTAAGGCATTCTTGGGTACCATACACATGGCAGGTGGACACTCAGATACATAAAAATAAATTCTCAAAGAAATTTAAACTTAATATGCTACAATCTTATATTTACTGACCTCCTTGGATGAAGAACGAAATCCTTAAATGTATATGGTCTCTCCATTCTTGGGTTTTCTGTCTAAAATGACAAAGGACAAAGGGGATTAGGTACTTTTCAAGAACACTGATGAACTATACGGAGAGACATAACTGAAGAATGAAAAAAGGCAGTTTTGACTTGTTAAGAGGAGGCAGTCAGTAGAGCAACAGTGCAATGTTGGCAGAACCCTGGCACCAGATAAACATGGGTGTGTAATGTTAGCAGGTTGGCTTGATTAGAGCACAGAGAGATTCTAGAACAAAACCATCAACAGCCTGGAAAGGAAGAGTGGGTCAAATGTATTCATGAAAGCTTAAGGCCACTAAATACTGCACAGAGCCAGGAATCTTGAATGGGGACAGAAGAACGCTGCCTTCCTGCTCATAACGGTCTCCGGCCCTTTGCCTTTGTGTCTCTGCTTCTTTGCATCCTCCTGCCTCAGCCTCCCAAGTGTCAGGATTACAGGAATGGGCTATCATATAGAACACGAAACCATCTCCTTAGATTTTCTGACACTTTTTCTTTGGTTCTTGTCCACTCTATCTTCTGACTTTCCTTTGATGCACCCATGTTGGCTAAGGTTTTCCATCTGGTCCTTTATCTTGCTTATTTGGACAGTGAGAACCTTTAACCCCTCCTGTTTCATTTCCCTACACAATTTACTTGGATACTGCTACTGCCTCTTTAAACTTGCATTTCTCCAACTTTATACTGAATGAAATAGGTTCTAAATGTGCACCACATGTGTGCAGGATCCATCAGAAGCCAGAAGAGGCATTGGATGCCATGTTCCTGTGGTTTCTGGTGGTTGTGCGCTGTCAGAAGAGTGCTGGGAACCGATCTTGGGTCCTCGTGACAGCCCTCTTAACACCTGAGCCACCTCCAGCCCTTTCGTCTGCTGTACTTCCAACTCGGTTCTCAGGGTTCCAGCTTTCACTGTTGCAGGCTCTTAATTCCCTTCTGTGAGCCTAGGCTCTTGCTGCTCTACTTACTAGTGTAATTCCAAACCCTTCTCCTTTAAACCTGTTTGCATCTTGCTAACCAATTCTAGCAGTTCTGTTTCCTATTGGAGCTCATGTAAGGAAATCTTACAGAAGACTGGAATGGAAAATTGAGACGGATTTCAGAAAATAGCTTATATATTCACATTGGGAGTTATTATATTAAAAATCACAAGCACAGCCGGGCGTTGGTGGCGCACGCCTTTAATCCCAGCACTCGGGAGGCAGAGGCAGGCGGATCTGTGTGAGTTCGAGGCCAGCCTGGTCTACAGAGCGAATGCCAGGACAGCCTCCAAAGCCACAGAGAAACCCTGTCTTGAAGAACAAACAAACAAACAAACAAACAAACAAACAAAAATCACAAGCACAACACCCAAAATGATGGACACCTATACTAACCGGTAACGGATAGAGAGGGACATCCACTTGACCTAGGAAATCATCTCTTGTCTGTAAAAGAAAGAAGAAACAGCATTACTGATACATTCAGTATTATGGTTTGAAGAGAAACGCATCATTCACACACACAAAAGTAAGTCAGTATTGATCTACCACAACACTGAGGGAAAGTCAATGAAAATATGCAAAGTAATGTGGTCCAATGCCTGGCAATGCCTGGGCAACAGAAATAAACCAGTCCTTCTGCAGATAACGATTATATACTCAGGCAGAGTATGAAACACACGAGTACAAAACAGAATGACAGGAGAAGGCACCTCTGAAGAAATAACAGTGCTAGGGAGGATTCCCAGTCAAACAACCACGCAGAACACATAGAAATGTTTAGTCCTAGAGCAAACACATGCAATGTTCTGGTGTGAGCGGTGGGGAAGTCAAGTGTAGAGCTAGCAGGGTCACAGGAAAGTAAGCGAGGAAATCTCAGAAAAACAGACGATAAACTTCTATATGAAGTCTACCTGACCCTCGCTGATCCCTGCATTGCCATAGTTAAAGGACTGAGCATAGATAACAGGGAGGCAGTGTTTGTAATACAGCTAAGTTAAGCTGCTAGCATGGGAGTGAACATTCTTTTGTTTTGGTTTTGAGACAGGGTTTCTCTGTGGCTTTGGAGGCTGTCCTGGAACTCACTCTGTAGACCAGCCCGGCCTCGATCTCACAGAGATCCACCTGCCTCTGCCTCCCGAGTGCTGGGATTAAAGGCATGTGCCACTAACACCCAGCTGAAAGTGAACATTCTTTAAGGAAAAAGAACACAATATACTCTCTCCATTAAGAACTGTATGTGGGGAAACTTACTAGACATGAAATAACAGGGAAGAATAAGGCAGAAAATTATTTGAAAAACTAAAAGTAGGCAGTTTTTCCATATTTGGGAAAAGAGTAGCTTAAGTTTCAATGAGCTCACTGAACTGACATCTAAAAATATAAAGAAGGGATGGATAAGTTCATCACTATTAAATGCTGGAGATAATGGGAAACTCTTGAAAGTCAAATCAACACAAGCACCAAAAACAACTGTACACAGTTAACAAAAACACACGTAGTCCGGCTGAAGAGGTGCTTGGTCATTTAGAGTGCTTGCTACTTCTCCAAGACCCAAGTTTGGTTCCCAGCTCCATGGTATATGATGCCTTCTTCTGGTCTCCATTGGCTCTGCACTCATAATACACCCCCACTTTAAAAAATATCTTTATTTCATTTTATTTTAAGCATATGGGTGTTTAGTATGGGCACTGTGCCACTGTGCCTGGGGAGGCTGGAAGAGGGTGTCTGATGTCCCGGAACTGGAGTCGCAGACAGATGTGAGTTGCCATGTGGGTGATGGGAACCAAACCTGAGTCCTTAGGAAGATCAGGCAGTGCTCTTAACCACTTGAGCCATGTCTCCAGCCCCATACACACTTAACTTAGAAAAGAATACAAATGACGGCAGGTCACCCACTGGAATTGAGGAGACAAAAGAATGCTGCCTATCAAGGGCTCAAAGTACTTGGAATTTTCACCTCGCAAAGCAATATCTCTCAAAACTAAAAGGAAGACAAAGAGTCTATGGCACATGAAGAGAGATAAGTCTGGCAACAGCAGGCTGGCAGGGTAAGTGGGAGGAAGCATTCACCATGCGAAGGGCACCAGACAGAAGTTCAGGTCCAAAAAGGAATGAAGAACATCAAAAACACTAGCTGTGGGGCTGGGAGGCGGCTTGATGGGTCAAAGCATTTGCTTTGCAAGCTTACAGACATGAATTCAAATCCCAGAACTAACACACACATAAATAGAGAAATGAATTGGGTGGTGGTGGCCCATGCTTTTATTCCAAGCAATCAGGAGAGGGAGGCAGGTGGATCTCTAAGTTCGAGGCCAGCAGGTCTACAGAGTAAGTTCCGGGGCAGCCATGGCTGTTGCACAGTGAAGCCCTGTCTCAAAAAACATGGAGGAAAAACAGATGAGAGGTGGCTCAGCACTTAAGAAGGCCCGAGGTTCACTTGCTGCACCCAGGTGGTGGCTGGCAACTATCTGAAACTTGAGTTCCAAAGGATCCTATGATGTCTTCTGGGCATCAGACACACAGACATATGTGCAACAACAACAAACAGAGGGCTGCTCTTGCAGAGGACCGGAATCAGGCTCCCAGCAAGCAGCCTGCCCACTAACAGTCACCTGCAACCCCAGCTCTAGGGAATCGACACTTCACAGCTGCAACACGACCCCAACCATCCATCCCACCCCTACATACACGCAATTGAAAAAAATAAATAATTTTCAAAAGAGCTTTGATATACAATCCACATGAAGTTTATCCACTTTAAGTGTGGGTGGGGTGTATGTATGTGTGAGTACATGTGTGAGTGCCTGTGGAGGCTGGAGGTTGTCAGCTGTTTCCTCCATTACTCTCTCTCTACCTTACCTTTTGAGACAGGGCTTCTCACTAAACCTGGAGCTGATTCGGCTATGCAGGTGGGCCAACAAACTCAGGTCTTCCTGTCTCTACCCCCCTTCCCCCGTGTTGGGGTTACAGGTGTGTGCTGACACACCCTGCTTTTTATGTGGGTTCTGGGTTTCCAAACTCAGGTCCTCATGCAGGTACGTCAGGCACTTTACTAACTGAGGCATCCACAGCCTCATCATCTTCCTTCTTTAAAGCAAATCATCTGAATTGAGTTTCCAGTGTGTGTGTAAGTTTCTCAAGAGCTGTCTGTCTCCTTTTTGAGACAGTGTCTGCTTTTCATTGGTTGGCCTGGAGCTCAACAGCCTCAGGAACCTACTTGTCTCCAGCTCCCCGGTGCCAGGATCATAAGCATCTGCCACCACAGCCAGTTTTTCACAGTGGGCCTAAGGATCAAACTAGGAACTCCACGCTTTCAGAGCAAGCACTTTAATGACTGAGCCATCTCCCCAGCCTGAATTGAGATCTTAAATTTTTAAAATCATTGTTATGTGTGTGTGTGTATATATATATATACATACATACATACATATATATATATATATATATATATATATATATGGAAAGGAATGGGCACATGCAGGTGTATGCATGCCACCAAACACAGGTCAAGGAAATACCCTGGGAGTGGGATCTAGGGACTGGACCAGGGTTTCCCAGCTTATGCTGCAAGCATGTTTACTGTGAGCCATCTCTGGCCTCTGAACAGTTCTGAACTTCTATATAAAATAAAAGTCTCAAAGAACTGAACTTCCAATATTAGAAGAATGAGCAATTTTCCCAAACTAACCATCTGTTTGGTGGTCTAAGAAGGAGGATGTGAACCAGGGAACTCCCCTGGAAAAGTTCAGACACATGGCTGCCATAAATGCAGGGCAATCTGAGGTGCTTTTTCCATTTACAAAGGAAAAATAAGCAATTTAAACTCATTCCTATGAGAGAAAGTGCATCTGTGATCTTCATTACGGTGTCCCTGGCCAAGCAATTGTTCCACACCCTGAGTATCAAGTATGTCTCTGTGGCAGCCATTTCCAACATTTGAGGCACAAGCAGCTTGCTTCAGGAGCAAACCCACACTTGGGGAAATGTAAGTTCTTTAAGAAGGCCTGAAAATAGGAGCAAGAATTCAGGATGCTGCCTCGTTAGTAGCGGACACAGTCTGGTCACCAAATAATACTCTTTCAATGATTTCAATTTCATGTTCCCAAAAACACTTTTTAGAACATACAAGGGGGGGGAAATCAAAATTCATTTTAATACAAATTTCTATTAGAATTACAAATGTTTTCTTCCTCTTTGCGTATGTGAACTGTGGTGTATGTGTACATGATTTGCACGTATGTTTGTATGTGTTGGATTTAGTTCATGGTCTATAAAGGCACTGTGCTTGGTTCAAAAAGTTTTAAAAAACTGGAACGGAAAATCTTACCATTTGTCTCAAGGAAAACCCCTCCTTTGTTAAAACTTGCTATTGAGTTCCAAATGAAGCATTTTTTGTTATACACAGAAGGCACTAGCAAAGAAATAGTATTTTGAGATCATAAAGTCAAATCAGCAATTATGACAGGAAATGAGACCACATAGAGCGGTAGCAATGGTCTCCCTGACATCTTAGGTGCCTTCTGTCTGAATCCTATCTGCCCAGTCCAAAGGGTCAGAATGCTCAGCAGAGCTGGATCAGTTACCATGAGCCTTACATGGCCTGCTCTATCCTGGACTTGAACGGGGACCCATGATGCTCTCTCGGAGTAGCTTACCAAGCCCCAGGTCATGCTCTTCACTGCTCTGACAATGGGTTATGCTTTGGGATCATTTTCTGGTTTGCCCACCTCAGAGTCTGAACTGGGTTTCATCTTTATGAAGAGTGGTCCATGTGTTTCCTAGACATGACCATCTATCTGTCCCTGCATTCTAATGGCCATGAGCCACCCTGCCATCCTTGACACATGGAATCCACCAAAGAGAATCTGAGTATTGTTGGTAAAGTTGGACAGATTAGAAGGTTATTCATGAAATTACACATGTATGACACACTGAATTTTAAGTTTGCTGAAATTACAACCCTGACCTCCTATTGATAAGACCTCCAACAAAAAAAAAAAGCATCATTGATAGGTAAAATCAATAACTCAAGAGGTCTTATATCGAGCTAAAACACTTAACAGTTTAAATATCATCTAAGAAGATTTAAACAGTATTTTTTTTAAAGTTAAGGTAATTCTTTGGACCTGAAAGATAGCTGAGTTGGTAGAGTGTTTGCTGTGTAAGCATGAAAATCTGAGTTTGCATCCCGAGAACTTACATAAAATATGGGCATATTGGAGCAGGGAGACGGCTGAACCTGAGTTTGGTTCTTAGAAGCCACATGGCAGCTAACAAGTGCCCGTAACTCCAGATCCAAGCTCTATAGGCACTGCACACACATGGTACACAGACATGCAAGCCCAACACCTATAGACATAAAAAATAATAATAAATCAAAAAGAGCTGGATGTATTACTGTGAACCCATAATCCCAGCACCACAGTTAGAGACAAGAGGATCCT